GGTGTTTCAGTTTGTTGCTCTGATGGGTAACGGATTTTCAGTTGTTTGTGTTGCTCTGATGGGTGTATACAGGGTGTTTCAGATGTTTGTGTTGCTCTGATGGGTGTATACGGATGTTTCAGATGTTTGTGTTGCTCTGATGGTGTATACAGGTGTTTCAGATGTTTGTGTTGCTCTGATGGGTGTATGCAGGTGTTTCTGATGTTTGTGTTGCTGATGGGTGTATACAGAGTGTTTCAGATGTTTGTGTTGCTCTAATGGTGTATACAGTGTGTTTCAGTTGTTTGTGTTGCTCTGATGGGTGTATACAGGATTGTTTCAGTTGTTTGTTTTGTCTGATGGGTGTATACAGGGTTTTTCATATGTTTGTGTTGCTCTGATGGGTTGTATACAGGGTGTTTCAAATGTTTGTGTTGCTCTGATGGGTGTATACAGGATGTTTCAGATGTTTGTGTTGCTCTGTGGTGTAGCATACAGTGTTTCATATGTTTGTGTTGTCTGATGGGTGTATACAGGATGTGTTTCAGATGTTGTGTTGCTCTGTTGGTGTATACGGATGTTGTTTCATTTGTGTTGCTCTGATGGGTGTATACAGGGTGTTTCAGATGTTTGTGTTGCTCTGATGGGTGTATACAGGATGTTTCAGATGTTTGTGTTGCTCTGATGGGTGTATACAGTGTTTCAGATGTTTGTGTTGTGATGGGTGTATACAGGATGTTTCAGATGTTTGTGTTGCTCTGATGGGTGTATGGGATGTTTCAGATGTTTGTGTTGCTCTGATGGGTGTATACAGGGTGTTTCAGTTGTTTGTTGTTGTCTGATGGGTGTATACAGTGTTTCATATGTTTGTGTTGCTCTGATGGGTGTATACAGGTGGTGGATGTTGTGTTGCTCTGATGGGTGTATACAGGTGTTTCAGATGTTTGTGTTGCTCTGATGGTGTATACAGGATGTTTCAGATGTTTGTGTTGCTCTGATGGGTGTATACAGGATGTTTCAGATGTTTGTGTTGCTCTGATGGGTTGTATACAGGGTGTTTATTTGTTTTTGTTGCTCTGATGGTGTATACAGGGTGTTTCATTTGTTTGTGTTGCTCTGATGGTGTATACAGGGTGTTTCAATTTTGTGTTGCTCTGATGGGTGTATACAGTGTTTCAGATGTTGTTGCTCTGATTGTGTAGGTGTTTCAGATGTTTGTGTTGCTCTGATGGGTGTATACAGGGTTTTTCAGATGTTTGTGCTCTGATGGGTGTATAGGGTGTTTCAGATGTTTGTGTTGCTCTGATGGTTATACGGTGTTTCATATGTTGTTGCTCTGATGGGTGTATACAGGATGTTTCAGATGTTGTTTTGTTGCTCTGATGGTGTATACAGGATGTTTCGATTGTTTGTGTTGCTCTGTGGGGTGTATGATGTTTCAGATGTTGTTTTATGGTGTATACAGGTGTTTCAGTTGTTTGTGTTGCTCTGATGGGTGTATACAGTGTTTCATGTTTGTGTTGCTCTGATGGGGTGTATACAGTGTTTCAGATGTTTGTGTTGCTCTGATGGGTGTATACAGTGTTTCAGATGTTTGTTGCTCTGATGGTGTATACAGGGTGTTTCAGATGTTTGTGTTGCTCTGATGGTGTATACAGGATGTTTTGGATTTTGTTTGCTCTGATGGTGTATACAGATGTTTCAGATGTTTGTGTTGCTCTGATGGGTGTATACAGGGTGTTTCAGATGTTTGTGTTGCTCTGATGGGTGTATACAGGGTGTTTCAGATGTTTGTTGCTCTGATGGGTGTATAGATTTCAGATGTTTGTGTGCTCTGATGGGTGTATAGGGTGTTTCAATGTTTGTGTTGCTCTGATGGGTGTATACAAGGGTGTTTCAGATGTTTGTGTTGCTCTGATGGGTGTATACAGGATGTTTCAGATGTTTGTGTTGCTCTGTTGGGTGTTTGATGGGTGTATGGGATGTTTCAGATGTTTGTGTTGTCTGATGGGTGTATACAGTGTTTCAGATGTTTGTGTTGCTCTGATGGGTGTATACAGGATGTTTCATTTGTTTGTGTTGCTCTGATGGGTGTATACAGGGTGTTTCAGATGTTTGTGTTGTCTCTGATGGGTGTATACAGGGTGTTTCAGATGTTGTGTTGCTCTGATGGTGTATACAGGTGTTTCAGTTGTTGTGTTGCTCTGATGTATGCGTTTGATGTTTGTGTTGCTCTGATGGTGTGCGGTGTTTCAGTTGTTTGTGTTGCTCTGATGAGTGTATACAGGGTGTTTCAGACGTTTGTGTTGCTCTGATGGGTGTATACAGGGTGTTTCAGACGTTTGTGTTGCTCTGATGGGTGTATACAGGTGCCAGTGATGTTTTGCTCTGATGGGTGTATCAGAGAGAGAGTAAACATTGTCGACTAAATGGAACGTTTATATAACATCAGAACAAGTAGTACAAGGAGAAATAGATTGGGGACACACACACACACACACACACACACACACACACACAATAGGTGACTTGTATTCGTGTATAAAGGGATTTGGTGGGTTAAGTCTTTTTTTTTGTTTTATTGTTACGAAGATTATGTAAGTGTTGAGAGTAAAAGGTTTGTTTGAAAAGTCTATACTGCCTAAAATGACTTGAACTGGATTTAACAACAGGTAGGTTAGGTTAGGTTTGGTTTATCTGGGTTGGGTTAGGAGGATAATTTTGGGTTAGGTTGGCTTTAAGTTAGGTTAAATTGGGTTAGGCTTAGTTAGGTTGGTTTTAGGTTGAGTTAGATTAGATTGGTTTAAGTTAGGTCAGGTCCGATTGGTTTAAGTTAGGTTAGTTTGGGTTAGGTTAGTTTGGTTTAAGTTAGGTTAGTTTGGGTTAGGTTAGGTTAGATAGGCCAAGTTTGGTGGACTAGTTTTACCTGTTTCAAAAGAATGGTTTGTGCTGTTTTAACCATAGATTGAATTATTTGGAGAATACAGAAGGTTACATGATGACGGTGGATGATGTACTGTATTCTGTATTTTAGTGACCAGGTGCTGTATCATCCACCTTGCTCAACCTAATCTAACCTAACTTATGTAGAACTAATTTAACTTCAACTGGAATTTCTTCTTCTAACCTAACCTGGCCATTGCTACATTTAACCTAACAACCAAGGCCTAATAATTTCTTAAACTCCCTTAACCTATTATAACTACCATAGTGTCGTTAAAGTTGACTCGGTTAGGTTAGGTTTGGTTGGTGTCTGCTTTACAAAATAAACAAATATATGGTTATGTGGGTCGTAGAACTTACCCAACATCGACCCGGCTGTGACCAAAGGGTAATAGATAATGTATTGGGTAAAATCGTCTCAATTCACTAACATTGGTTCATCATGTACGTAGACTGTATAGGTGTGTGTGTGTGTGTGTGTGTGTGTGTGTGTGTGTGTGTGTGTGTGTGTGTGTGTGTGTGTGTGTGTGTGTGTGTGTGTGTGTGTGTGTGAGGTGTAGGATGAGCTCGGTGTGTGTGTGTGTCCAGGTGTGTTTAAAATACCTACCTACCTAGCTAGCCCACTCAGCCAGTCACACCTGTAGGCTATGTCATCGTCCAGGTGTTCCGTGAAGAGTGTGTAATTATTAAAGTCACTCACTCGCTCACCTGGCTATGGAGGAGGCAGGTGAGATAAGTCTGGGGTATCATGTCATGTTTGGAGAGAGAGACCCAGATAAAGTCTAGGGAATCGTATGTTATGTTTGAAGAGGCCAGCGAGTAAGTCTGGGAATCGTATATCATGTTTGAGAGCCTGCACTGTAGTGTGTTCTGAAAGCTGTACACTCCATGTTTGTTCATGGTGAATGCAGTGATCAAGTGAGGAGATAAGAGTATCGGTAATGGTGCAGTTTTGGTTGTTTTAATTACTATATATGTATTTTATTGTTGTCATTTACATAAATTTGGAGAGTTCCGTTACACGTCATAATTTAAGTGCTTAAGTGCATTGTTAACTGTGCTGTTGTTGTTGTTGTCAGTTTAGCTCTTTGTCGGCTAAATATTTACATTCGAGTATAGGAAGTAACTATATATATACACAATATGTCAGTACAGTAATATCTAATACACAGTATGCTTCACACTTTAGGAATGATTTAAGCTTTAATATACAACTAACGTTTTTATAGTCAGCGAGAGGTAACTTTGTGTGTGTTAGAACTGAAGGAAACTTATTTCATAGTTTGTTTGTTGCAATTATAGGAAAATTTGCTCATACTGTAAAAAAAAACCCATTTGTTATTTAGACATTGTTGACTAAATAAAAATAAGTTTAGATTAGTCATGATAATATTCACTTAACAGTTTGTAGTAATGTGATGACTATATACTGTAACTACGAGTCTGTTAGAATATTCAAAATACAGTATACACATAGGTTATTCTATATTCAGTATACATATGATAAGCTATATTGGTAAAGGGTGTCTTTGTTATATTGCCGAGTTGTGGTGTTGTGGCGTGTCGTAGTCCTGTTGTCCAGAAGAATCTTAAGAGCTGAAACACAAGCTAGCGGTTCGTGGTACAGGATGTTAGTCCACACAAGGCTTTATTACATAACTACCGTGGTACCACTACTGTAGCTACTGTACTAAGATTTGCCAAAGTGTACAGTTTGCTTTCGGATGTATATTTTTTAAAAGCTTTTGTATCACCTAAGAATTAAACCCCAGTTTATTTCATGATGATTATTAATGAAACACTGTCACTAGTTCAACCACACTTAACCCCCCCCCCCTCTCCTACTCTGTCAGGTAGCGTTAGGGTGTTTAAATGTCAGATGAAAAACAAAATCTATAAACTCTGGGTGTCTAATCTTCACGTGATGTAGAAGTTCATTTAGTATACTCGAATCAAGTGGTTGGTGGGAATAATGGATATATTTACCTTATATATTTTGTTTGTCACCATTTATCATTGTTTCAATCTAAGGTAACTAACTATTTTTCTACTTTGTTTCCAGTCTGAGCCTACCTGTGATGCTACCCACAGCAGAAGACCGACCATCATGGGCCCGTACAGATGAGAGAGAATACTTTATATATATATATATATATATATAGTACACTTTACAGTATATATTATTCAAAACACCCCCTCGACAAGTATACAGTGCCTCAAAACCTGATACATACATACATACATAATACACAGTGTTCAAGGTCTATCATACTCTTACAGTGCTCAAGACTTATGAATTGTGTTTTAAAAAGAGGATGGCTCTGTCGTTAATTAATTCTGTGTTGTTTCTAGATCAGTGTCTTAACAGGTGTGGTTATGGAGGTTAAACCACACACACACACCACACCCACCCACCACACACACACCACACACACACACACACACACACACACACACCCACACACACACACACACACACACACACACCCACACACACACCCACACACACCCACACACACACACACCCACACACACACACACACACACACACACACCCACCCACCCACACACACCCACACCCACACACACACACATTTGCATTGGTAGCTGTCGCTTTGAATGGTTGAGAGTAAATGGTCAGTTCTTAAGACGTACAAGAAACGATTTTAAATGAGATAATTATTGAAAGAAAAAAGTTTGTGTGGGGGGGGAGGGGATCATTTACTACACAAACTAACATCATTGCTTTATTTCTCACCAATTATTATTATTATTATTATTATTATTGTTATTATTATTATTATTATTGTTATTATTATTATTAGTTATTATTATTATTATTATTATTATGATGATGTTTCTTGGACCTTTTGTTACTATACAGATCACTAGTGTATTTATTATTAGTTTACATTTTGTTTTTTGTTTTAGGAATTATGATGAAGACGTTCTCTTAAATTGACATACTGTATATACAGGTACATAAATTTGATGAAATTATTTACTAATTTATTTATACTATTTAATTATTATTATTATTATTATTATTATTATTATTATTATTATTATTATTATTATTATTATTATTATTATTATTATTATTATTATTATTATTATTATTATTAGCCCTATTATTATTAGCCTATTATTATTATTATTTTACTGTATTATCATTATTATTATTATTACTTATTTTACAGGGGATTATTTACATATTTATTTTGTGCACTCACTTAAACAGTATTCTAACCCTAGAACCACTCAATATGGACAATGTCAAATTAAAGTTTTTATTATATCTGCATTGGGTGATGAATGTTTGATACTACATCCTCATGTGAAGTACTGTACTATACTGTTTTAGTAGTCACATGGGCTAACAACACAGTGTGGAGTGATACAGTGTAGTATGGTCAACATGTCCTTAGGTTCACTCTCACCTGTGATGGAATATTGTACTGTACTGCATTTTGTTCTGTACAGATAACATGAATCATATGTACTATACTACAGTACACTATACTGTATACCTGTTCATGGTACAGTATATTTGTACATGAAGTTGTGCAGAACAGTAGTGTAGTGTTTTGAAACAAGTTGACTACATTATAAACTGAATAGAAATGAATAAAAGGTTTGTGAATAATTATGTATGTGTATGTATGTATGTACACAGAAACAGCATATGCACTCACACATGTATACAAACATTAATTAGTCGATGTACCTTTCAATACTTCATTACAAATACATATGTACCTCACTAACAAAAAGGAAGATTGTTTTAACTGGGGGTATACTGTGCCGTCCGTACCTTGTACCTGTAGTTATAATGAATTTCCTACTATAATTACAAATCCAACCAACCTCATTCTACCCAACCCCCCATTTCACCTTACTAACTAACCTGACCGACCCCACTAGATGACCTTACATAACCTAACCCATTATTACACTACTGTAGTTATATAAGGAAATACAGTACATGTTGGGTAACAATCACCATCTTTCTTTTAGAGAGGTCCCAGTACAGTACATGTAATTATGACAAGAGGTTGTCTGTACAATACACACAACTCAGAACTACCTTGACTTAACATTCCTAACATAGGTGCGTCAGCTTACGTTACTGGGTTTACTCTGGCCGGCGTCCAATTCTTTATCTCCCTGTTGCGTAACATCAGTGCCAAAGTGAACAGGACAGTGCTCCCCTTTTATGCTTAGACTTATGTAATATTTGTATTTTGTATGTATTTTTAGTTCACTGGACATATTTTATGGGTGGTCTGTGACCACCCAATTTAAAGAAATAACAATGTGTGCTTGTATGTCGTAGAAACTGATAATACTGTAAAAATTACTTACAGTATAGTGTTAGGGTAATACTACTGTATATACTGTACTGTATAATATGGTATGCAGGAATGGTTTTATACTGTATATGATTTAAAATACTTGAGTCAGATTGCAATATGTGAGAGAAGAAAAAATGGTTTAATTATTGTCACTGTTGAAAGAGAAGTTAAAAAGAAGGCAAGAAAAAGGTGTTATATTAAATTGGAGATGAAAATGAATTGTGCATTATGTGACGGCCTTTGATGTTACCGGTGCAGTCGCCTGGTTGCCGGCTGACTCAGGGAAGGGATGTTTTCTAATTGCCCGAGTCGTTAGCTTTCGTTGCCTACAAAGACTCGCTGAGAGCGTTGTCACAAAACCCAAAAATATCCATTACAAATTTACAATGTCTGCGGATTATGATTGATGTATCGTGTCATGTTTCTGACCCTTGAGTACCGTATGTTGCCCCTAGCGTATGCCAAGGAAATATTGTACAGCGTATAGTAAATGTAGGTACGATGGTGATTGTATAAGGAAACGGAGGAAAACTTCTGTCTGCCTATTTCCCATGAGTTAGTTGGTTAAGAAGTATTCCTGTTCAGTATATCTTTGTTTTTTACTTCTGGAATACGATGAATTAACCCCTTCAGTACGATGACTAAACCTCTTGACTGTGAAGAGTCTTAACTCTTGAGTACTTGAGGAATAGGTCATCGTACTCATGCAGTCAAGTCATCGTACTCAAGGGGTTAAAGAGCAATGTTGTATTATGGTGGGCTGTACCTCATCACTAAAGTCACCTTGTGTGTATGCCGAGTCATCGTATTCGCAGTACAATATAGTCTCGATTTACATGGATTTGGTTTACGCGTTTGGTCATTTACGCGGCACCTTGCCAGACCGACAATTTTTATTTACACGGTTCATTCCATCATTTACGTGGGAAGCGGCACGGGCAGGGTGCACACAAGGTCGCCTAGTCAACAAAACATTACCGAGTTCTTCACCCGCCACCCACCACAGCCGGTCCAAGTCAGCGACAGTGAGAGTGAGGATATGGACTTTGAGGGGTTTGACAAAGAGGCCCTGCAAGCCTCTGTGGTGGATAGTGATACAGGTGATACAAGTGATACACCTGAGGGCCAATAATCTGCCCTCTGCCTCGGAACCAGCCCCCCATCCTCGTGTGCCCAGCCATCTTTTCTACTAATGTAAGTGTTAAAAAACCTAATATTATTGATATTTCTCTTAAATATTAATTGTGTGTGCATACCATCATAAAATTAAGATGTTATTTTTACTACAAGGTACGTATTGTGTCGGAAAAAGTGTAGTTTGGGGGTCGGCCCAATCTCTATTTCGATTAATCCCAAATGTTCTGTTATTTCGTTTACGCGTTTCTCGTTTTACGCGGACCTCCACGGGTTCAATTGACCGCGTAAATGAAGACTATACTGTACTGTATAATTATTCATTTACATTTGGGTTAGTGTTCTCTGGTGTGTCGGAATGTAATGAGAATATTTCACAGGATTGATCACAGTTAACCCAGAACCCTGCAGACTCGCTCAAAAGAGTTTATTTACGGAGGGGTCCTATGATTACAAAATGAACACCTCGATTCCTGTTGTCTCGGTAGGGTTGTCAAAATCCTTCGCCCGTTGTGTCATTTTGTCTCACACAATATTGTGCTAAGATACTTTTTGGAGCGGGTGTATATGTACGTACAACTAATTAAGACAAGGTGTTTTACCCTACTGTACACATACATGCTTGTACAGTACTACAAATTCCTCACTAGAGTGTATACAGCTATATATTGTAATAATAATGATGATAATGACTGTATAATAATAATAATAATAATAAATGTGTTTCTTTTTAGGAGAGTAACAAGGTGATAAATTGTTAGGATGTTTTAAAAAATTTTTTTTTTTGTATAGGATGAGGATTAATAGCTACAGGATGTTACTGTTTAATTTCAGTTACTATTTCAGTTAGATTTCATTATTTTCAGCCAAGTTTAAGTCTTTTTGGAAATTTTGTTGTTTGTTTTTAATTTTATTTTAACATTAAAGATTATGATAAAACGATTATTATTGTTTTTATTTATTTATTTATTTATTTATTTATATGTTTATTTAAGGCTGTATTGTTGATTATATATCAGTATTAAACATTGCCCATTAACTGTTTTGAGTTGTTTGTCCCCTTGTTTTGATAATACAGTAAGCTTGAGCTAAATAGTTAAGACTAATAAGGGCTAACCAGGGTGTAGTGAACCAAGGGGCCGCCCACCACTCAGAAGTTGGGTAGTAGCGCACCCGCTTGGCTTGTGTGCCCCCACCCTAGCTCCCCCCCCTTGTATCCTCTCCTGTACTAGCTACTACGTGTGTGTGTGCGTGTGTGTAACCATTAGACAGACACCAGTCCGCTAACTTGGCCCCTCCCTCCCTCCGCAGGCCCTACTCGCGAGCAGGGGCGGATATCTTATGGTATGTGACAATGAACAGAATGGTGACGCTAGCTCTCTATCCCCTCCCTCCCCTTCCCCTCTCTCATCCCTCCCTCCCTTCCCCCTCCCTCCCTTCTGCATCTCATTGTCTCCAGTGTTTCTTTCTAAGTTAAGATTGGGGTAATGTAATGTAATGTAATGTACAGTACAGTACTTAGATGCCAAGAAGACAGTTTTCTCAACGTATTAACTGTATTTCCCGTCCCCCCCTTTGAACCCCCACCACTAAAACCCCCTTTTTTTATTTCTCATATCTCTTCCATTCTCAAAATTTTGTATGTGGGGATATAGTGTACAGTATTAGTAGTTTAACCTCTTATTATATTTGAATTAACTAACTTCCCATATACTACTGTAACTGTTTTTCTTAAATTTTACTACAGCTGCAGACACACTTAGAGCTTATTCATCAAGACATTCCTGGTCCCTCAGTACTGGTATCTCCTTCACCCTCAGGAATGTTCTGTAGTATCCATCCAGTACAGTACTCCAGGCCACTACCCACCCCCACTGCCCAGCCCTAAGACAGCCAGATCTGTAATGTCGTATCCCTCTCCTCACTGACAAGCAGCAGCCACATTCCAATCCTGGTTTCCACCGAGCACTTGCATTCCAGTTTCCATCCCCCCCCCTCCTCACCACACACATCCCACACGGCACTCCCTTAATTCTGTATTGTAGTGCCTTCATTTATGTACTCAATCACTCACTCTTTAACCTAAGCGAGAATCCCAACAGCTACAGGATGAGCCTTGATCTCCGTAGACTTGTACAGAACCCATGAGGCCATCATACTGCCCCCCCTTCCTCCCTCCCTCCCTCCCTCTCTCTTTCCTTCCTCCTCTACCTCCCTCCTCTCACCTCCCTCCCTCCTCTACCTCCCCTTGTGGCCACTATGACTTTAATTCTTATTTTCCCAGTTATTGTATACTGCTCACCTCCTCCTCCTCCTCCTCCTCCTCCTCCTAGCCTGTGATAATGTTAAGAGTTTAGATTAAGGTAATACTTTTAACCAAAACCCTCCTTTCTTTCTTAAGTTCTTTTATTATTAAAGTTATTGTTGTTGTTGTGGTTGTTTAGAGATATTTTCTGTATGTTAGTTCCTGCTGTAATGCCACATAATTTTGAGTCCATCTTTATTTATACTTAGTTTGGTTGAAGGTTCAGTTGTAGTTTGAGTGGGATGACTATTGGTAAACAGTGTCTGTCAAAAAAAAAAAAAAAATGTTCGCCTGCAGGGAGGTCAGTAGAGGTCCTGCAGCAGTGCGTCCGAGGTGGGACGGAGAGACGAGTAATCCGAGATTCCCTTTGCAGGCCTTATGCCCACGGCCGGACGGACATGATGCCCCTGGTCCCGAGTAGCCCCCTAGCCATCAGCACCACCATAGACTCCAGTAAAAGGATCAAGCTTTCCACGCCCATCAAGCCCGATAACCGCGTCCCTTTAGTAATTGATACTTCGGACAACAACCACACCAACAGGGTGAGTGACGGGCTGCCGCAGCTTGTGCCCCGTCAAGTGTATACTTTAGTGCCACTTTCTTCACTTGACTTTCACCTAACTTTATTTCTTCTGTACTGCTGCTCCACTTGCCTCAACAGTATACTGTATATACTACTCCACCTACCTGATGCTGCTCCACCTACCTGATGCTGCTTCACCTACCTGATGTTGCTCCACCTACCTGTATGCATTACTGTATTTGCTTTAGTAAACACCTTAGATGATGTAACCCTCAATAGCTTTTGCAGAATCTTTTTGAGACTGTAGTCATACTGAACTGTCTGTCACTTTTATCAAAACTAATCCTGATTGACTGATTGCTTGACTAACTGACTACCTGACTGTCTGAGAGACCTGTGGTTGACTGACTGAGAAAACTGTGGTTGAACTGACTCTGACTGAGAGAGCTGTAATCAACCAAACCTCGCTGATGAAGACTGTAGGTCATTGCTGTTTTCTCCTCATCCAGCACCCAGTTCTGTGTCCCATCAGTCAGCAAGAGACCTTTAAAGAGCTCACAGTTCTCTCCTCTTGTACTGTATCATCCTGTTACTGTATTTAGTATAATCTGTTGCCATCAGACATAAATCAACCTCAATCATCAAGTAAGGAAGGGATAAAGTCAAGTCAGTGACAGTGGACGATGCTGTTTCTTAGCTAAGGTATTCTGCTGCTCATGTGGAAGACGATATATAAGACTCCCTGTGTGCAAGTGTACTCGTATAATGACACTGTAGAAATGTATCATAATAGTTTGACCAACAGTATAGTATTTGATTTGATTTTTCAGTATTATTTATGGTGATAATAATGGCACCCTTAGACTTTGCTGCCATAAGATAGGGCATGATTGTAACCCTTTAAGGAGACATCTATTACCTCAATCATTCCTTCTCTTGTGGTGTTAATGTTTGATATAAGATAAGGGGAAGAGTCTACCCCTTAGTGGAAACAATCATTCTCTCGGTCATTCCAACCTCATGTTTCAACCACTTGAAATTTTTTGTATGTACTGTGTGTCCCAGAGTATTTTATTTATCCATTTCAACACAGATGAACTAAATGTCAATACCTCGATGATAGTAGTAAACGTGAATTATTAGTTCGTAGTTATCAGTGTAGTTGTTCCAGTGCCCCGTGTTAGGTCAGATGAAGAGATAAAAGCAGGTGTATAAACTTACCTGGGAATATTGAGGTAATTTACTGGACTGAGGAAAAGGCTGTATATTGTATTAGATGTAATGAAAAAGAGAGAATGGAAACCTGATGAAGCCCCAGTACTGTATAGATTAAATTGTGGGTGTGTAGTAGCTCTTATGTTTGTTAATGTAGTCTTTTCCTATACAGCATTCTACTTGTCTTTGCATCGCTCAGTCTCACCATCCCTCCCTCCCTCCTCCCTCCCTCCCTCCCTTCCTTCCCTGTTCTTAAGGCTTCCTCCCTCCCTCTCCTCCTCCTCCCTCCTCCTCCCTCCTTCCTTCCTTCCTTCCTTCCTTCCTTCCTTCCTTCCTTCCTTCCTTCCTTCCTTCCTTCCTTCCTTCCTTCCTTCCTTCCTTCCTTCCTTCCTTCCTTCCTTCCTTCCTCCTCCTCCTCCCTCCCTCCCTCCCTCCTCCCTCCTCCCTCCCTCCTCCCTCCCTCCCTCCTCCCCCTCCTTCCCTGTTCTTAAGGTCTTTGTTCCTTCTGATCCTCCCCACACAAAAGTTGTAGAAGATTATGATATAGATTACAGGTCTTCCTAACTGAAGGGGTGGTTACAGTATCCCAGCGTCTCTCTCTCTCTCTCTCTCTCTCTCTCTCTCTCTCTCTCTCAACCCCTTGAGTATGATGACAAAATCCCCACAGTATGACAACATAACCCCTTGAGAATAATGACTTAACCCCTCTAATACGATGACTTAACCTCCTCATGAGTGTGATGTCTTAAAAGTCATCGATTCAGGGGTGTGATGGGGATTCAGTCATTGCACTTCATCTGCCCGAGGAAGTTGTGTTACCCTGTTGTTATGCCGAGTGGAAATTATTATTATTTTTTTTCTTAAATTCTTTACTGCCGAGTGATTTCCATAGACTCAAAATGGGATCTATATAAAAAAAAATTTGGGGGGGGGGGTCATGTTTGTTGTTGTTGATTACAGAATTGCCTTTTAGATTTTGAATAATGATGATGATGATAACAAGAATGGCCAATCTGTCAGGAGATAATGTGTGTGTGTGTCTGTGTGTGCGTGTGCGCGTTATTATATAGTGAAGATTCTGCCCAGGTTGCCTATAGTTTTTAAATGCTTTTGTGTGGAGATAATTGACATGTTTTAGATTATATACAGTATAGTGATGTAGATGTAATACATACAAGGACTCTCTAGTTGTACCACCTCGCTAACTATGCTCTACCCCTCCTTGCCGTCCCTCCAGGAGTCCACGTACACCCCGCAAGTAGAAGCTATCTCCCCCACTCTGCCGTCGGACCCCAGAGATGAATCCCCGCTCCGATCCACCAAAGACGATCTTCTAAAACATATTGAACAAGTAGACCGGGAGATTGCCAAGGTGAGGCCTCAGTCATAACCTAACTCTCTCTCTTTTTCTCTTTTCTTTATTTTCTCTCTTTCCTCTGTTTTCTCACAGTATCAAATATTCGAGGAAAATAATAACAAATGCAACTGTATAATGCATAATTTTATATAACTAAAGAAAAAACTTGTCTATTAGTATGAATTTAAACACCATCTAAAAAAAAATCTTGGTAATGGTGATTCAAGGAGTTACACTGAAAACTATCACAAAGGTTATTTTTGTTACTGATGATCACTGTATTAGTTTAACACAGTGGTCGAACATGGTTGAGAAATAAGAATAAAAGTCTCATGAATGATTCTGTCAAACACCGTTGGGGGAAAAAAAGAACAACTGCAAATTAGGTCGGTCTAACACCATGATGAAAACAAAAACAAATTAAAATAATTCTACGCATTAGTTTAAACACAACAAAAATAAAAACAAAACACTTGCAAATCTAAATCAGTCAAACACCATGAAAAGACAAAAGAAAAATACAAAAAACTAACAGCTGTAGATTAAGAGGTACTAATAGTGTAGCTACATATACTGTACCCTGATGTGTCACACCCCACTGTTGTGTAAGCCACTCGTGGACAAACATTATATAATTGTCGTCATATGGAAGTTGTCTGAAAGAAATAAACCATTACTTTACCCACCCACCTCCCTCCCTCCCTCCTTCACCCCCTCCTTCCTTACAGTACCTACTCACTCACCCACCTACTTACCACCCTCTTTCCCTTTGCTGGTTCCTCTCTCCAAATATCACTTTTGCTAGAGTCTAGACCCATAAGTAGCTGAGCTTTCACAAATCATTTTTATGAAGTTGTTGTATCCAGATGGCAAAGTAGCGTAGTTTTGAAACTAGAACAAGATCTTTTGAGTCGATGCCGAGTGAATGAATCCCAACAATTGCTGTGTCATTTTACATTTGTTTGGCTCCTCACGGTGACGACAATGAAGCCTTTGTGATGGAGTCACCCACTGGTGTTGTGTGTGTCTATCTGGCTGTGGACAGAATAATTCTTTCATGTTTATTCCCATTTCCAGGTATTGTACAGTACCTGTACTTCAATTTATAGGTCTTCAGGCACAGTATCTTGGCTGGCATTTAATATCAAGTCACCCACTTTATATTATTACCTTCTAGCAGGTCAACCACTCTGTATAAGCCATGTTGTATTTTGCCCTATATGTAATGGCTAAAGTGCATTGCTTATTTCAAATGCTGAATCATGTTTGAAAATATGACTTACAGTACTGTACTGTATTTAATTCTTTATTGAAACACTATATGGATTGGCATGACTAGTTTATTTTCTGTAGATCATTTTGTTGTAGGCAAGGTGTGGGAGTGCCTTCTCAACACCACGTGGATGAAGATAGAGACATCATTATTATTAGTCAGGATGAACTCTCATAAGGTTTAGTGAACATGAGTAATAACTGGCGTCATCTTCAGCTGTCAGAATAACATGTAAGAAGAATGTTTGAGGGGCTCCTTCATTATGTCACTGTACTGTACTAGATAATGGGATTTAGGATGTGTAGGACAAGTGACGGTGTTTTGCTGGAGTGCAACAGAGATTATGAGTAACTGTGGGCTATCAGTAGGATGTCACAGACCGCACCAGTGAGATATTGTGATAATCCCGGTCAATGCCATCATCCCGAGCTACACCGCAAACACCCAATGTTAATATATTACTGTACTGTATTTTCTTTTACAATATGACATAAAATTATGAATTTGAAGCTTGTTTATGGATAATACTCTTGATTGGTAAGGCAGACTATACAATATACACCAATTCCCCCATTAACGTCCTTGTTAGGTTCCTGAAAACCACAATTTTAGTGAAACGACGTAGAGTGAAAACTATTTTACCATAGACACAGTGATATAAATTGGGGCTATGTTCCTTGGGTATATTTCTGGTCAAAATTTTCTCACAACTTGCCACAAATGTTTCACTTTCATCACTGTCACCTTCTTCTTGTTTTAAAATTTCAAATAAACTTAGAGCTTTCGCCTGTATGGAGAGCTACGAAGATGGAAAGTTTTGTTGATGTTGATCCTCAATCCACATGTTCAACATACTTCGCATATTTTCCATAATGCCACTTATGTTACCAGTTAACTTTTTAGCAGATATGGAGTAACACTTTTCGCACATAATACAGTGAACCCTCACTTTACGCGGTTAATTCAACCCACAGGGTACCGCGGAAAGTGAACAACGTAACATATGGGATTAATTGAAATAGAGACCGGGCCGACCCCCAAACTCCACTATTTCAGACACAATACCTACGTTGTAGTAAAAATAACTTCTTAATTTTATGATGGTATGCACACACAATAATTAAGAGAAATATCAATAATATTAGGTTTTTTAACACTTACATTAGTATAAAAGATGGCTGGGCACACGGGGATGGGGGTTTGGTTCCGAGGCAGAGGGCAGATTATTGGCCCTCAGGTGTATCACTTGTATCACCTGTATCACTATCCACCACAGAGGCTTGCAGGGCCTCTTTGTCAAACCCCTCAAAATCCATATAAGTCCATATCCTCACTATAATTATCACTATCACTGACTTGGGCCGGCTGTGGTGGGCGGCGGGTGAAGAACTCGGTAATGTTTTGATGACTGGGCGACCTTGTGTGCACCCTGCTCGCGCCGCTTACACAAGCGGATGGCGGGAGGTTTGGATCCAAAAATGGCGCGGCTCGCCAGCCGCTCTCCGCGTAAAGGGGTACACGCACCGCGGAATGTGAGCATTCCGGTTTCGGCAGGGTACCTCGTAAACGTGGAATGTGGGACCGCGTAAAGCGAGGGTTGACTGTGTGATATTTTCTGCATTTCCACAAATTGTTCTTAACTACAGTTGTGGACTGCAAATTGACACCTCTTGCTATGTTCACAGCTCACTGTCCTTCTTAAAATCTCTTTACCACATCTAATTTTACTTTTAATGTAACACTTCTTCTTTCTGTGACCACAAACAGTAGTGGTCCATAATGCACATTTAGCACTCTTTGTTCTAGGGCTCAAATAAATTTATAATTGGATTTTAAGTGAATGTTGGAAGAGTATCAACCAACAATTGAACAATAAAAAAAAATATGGTGCCCACACTGCTCGCCTACACAGTCAGCTGTTATCACAAGCAGGTGCCGAGCGTCTTCGTACCGAATTTTTTAAATTGTCCTACATATTTTAACAACGTTGAGTGAAACAATGTTAATGGGGAAATTGGTGTACTGTACCCCATGATTAATATATATTATTTAGATTCTGAACTTGTTACTCATCTATGGATAATGAAATACTCATTATGTCTCTCTGAAAGAGAAAATATTGATGCTCTCTTTCTCACTGTTTTGTTAAATACTGTATATGTCTCATACCATACTTGGCTCGGAGACCAACAGTTAACAGATCGTAGTCTTTTCTTTTTTATATACCGTATACATATTCTGTTACTTGCAGTGCTCTCAGTAGTAGACTTAAGAAATACAATACCTGATAATGCATAGTTGATGAAGGTGTGTACGTGTGTGAAGAACTAGCAGAATTGAATAGCCGCTGCATGCATCCATGATTGTGGAGTATGTCTTGTGGCAGACTATCCCTTCTTAACGGTTACTCTCACTCCCCACAGGCGGAGTCTAGTATAGCCAAGCTGCGGAAAAAAGAGGGAGAGTTGCAAGTTGCGGCAGCGAAGGGGGACGGAGCCAAGCCAGAAGAGGAGGACACCAAGGAGCCAAGACATCATAGTATAGCGCAGATTATTTATGCTGAAAATAGAGTAAGTTGACGTCATGTGTCTTATGTCTTGTACTGTAAGTCACCGAGGCCGTTGGTGTTTATGTTCAAGACCCACAAATTTGAAGTCAGGTAATGGTATGGCTGTGATGTGTCTCCCTCAGCTTTTGTTGCATTTTATTATTAAATTATTTGAGAATTTAACCATTTTTAATAGAATATTGTGATCATAGTTGTATTTGTTGGCTCTTATGTGTTGAATGTTTTAAGAGTTTTGTTCTTTTAAATATGAAACTTAAAAAGAACTTAGGGTATGGATGTGTGAGAGTGAAGGCAGATAGTGACTACAAGAATAATACAATGAATTAATTTATATGATGAGTAACAACCAAGAGCTCAAGTTTGATGGATACAAGGAGAGTGAATATGTAAATTAGTAAAAAGAGACATTTCAATAGACCAATCATAAGAAGTGACCATTAGTGGAGAGAGTCTGTACAGGTGACTGAATGATGAGGAAAAATTGTGGGGGTCGTTGATAAGATGTCATTTAGTTATGTTAGAGAATATTGTGTAATTCTCTTGTTCATTTCTCTTGTTCCTTTACAGAAAAAGGCTGAGGAGTCCCATAATATACTTGATAAGCTGATGCCGCCAACAGATGTGCCGACTGTGTTGGTGAGTCTTCATACTGTGTTCTCGAGACCTGACTCTGAAAAATGCTGTCGGGGATCATTTAATTTAAGCTCCTGTCATAAAAGCTTTGAACTTTAGGAATTTTTAAATTTAATTGCTTAAGATTTTCTACGTGTTTTCCTTTTCTTTGAGTATGATAACTTAACCCACGAGTGCGAGAAGTTAACCCCATATGATGACTTTAGGATTTAACATGCACTCAAAGGATTAAAAATATATTGTACTCAAAAGGCTAATTCATCATACTCAGAGTGATGACACCGTACTCACGAGGTTAACCCACTCGCGTACGGGGTCCCTTCTCTGCTGACTAAAATCATCTTGCGCTATCCAAATTAAGTAATACAAATGGCGTCCCCATAACGAAGGGGTCGAGGTGGGCAGCTACAGTGTACACCTAATGCCTGTATCTAGAGGCAAATAGTATTGTTCAGTGAAACCTCCATATAAGTGACTCCTCTCTCCTCGTACTCCGTTAGATGGGAGGTTCACGACTAATGGACCCTTGATATATTGAACTTTCATATCTATATACTACAGTAGCTGTTAGGTGAGGGGGGGGTTTCACATTGAACGGACCTTCGATATAACGGACATTCATCACCATATAATCCGTTAAATAGAAGTTTCACTGCATTAATATGAATTCAGTGTCCATCAAATGATAATAATAGTCAGGAGGAGTTTGTAATGTTAATTTTTCTCCCTTGATGCTTGTATTTAGAGGCAAGATTTTATATACTGTTCTTGTGTAAGTAATTCAAATGGTAATAATAGTGAGAGAGGGATTATGATATTTATTTTTTCTCCCTCAGCCGCTATACCACCAGCCCACGGACACAGAGGTCTACATGGCAAACAAAAGGCAGTACGCAGGTTTCAAGCGGAGACTGGTGGAGTACTTCAAGAAACGTCATGCAAACAAAAACGAGCGGGATTCACACCTCACCCAGACTTACTCCAAACTTATGACTGAGTGGCTAAAGAAAGTTGAAAAGGTAAGATAAGAGTGAGGTGATGAGGTTACTGGTGTACAGGAGAGGATACCTGTCTGTGTGTGTGTGTGTGTGTAAATGTATCTTATCACCTGAAGATTAACCCTTCCTCCCCTCCACCTCCCCCAAGCTTGTTACACCTGACGATTAAAACCTCCTGTTGTTACCTGAGGGAGGGGGGATGGGGGTTGGTTAGCCTTAGGAATGTTAGGACTTTAGAGAACTTGTGCTCCTGTGATTCTCCTGGTAAGAGTCAAGTTGCTGGATCCTGAAGTCAACCAGAATTTTCACCTGCACTGCTTTGACTCCCTATGAGAGGTGGATGCCTAGTGAGTCAAGGCAGGATGGGTATGATGTTGGGATCAGTTAGGATGGGCATGATAAGGGATCAATTAGTCAAGGTGGGATGAACATGATGATGGGATGACTCCTTGTCCAGTTAGTCCAAGCCAATTTTGTTAGATATTTACATCATGCATCAGTTCTTCACAGCGTGTATTGTCATCCAGAATCCTAACTGACCGTACAATCTCTCGAGTCTCTTTTTAACATAAGTCTCCATTTACAGGTGGAAAACTCTAAAAAGCACAAGGAAAAGGTGGCCAAGAACCGAGAACTGTTCGAAAAGGTCTTTCCCGAGTTGAGAAAACAGCGAGAAGAGAAGGAGCGGTTTTCCAGGGTCGGCGCAAGAGTCAAGAGCGACGCGGAGATGGAGGAGATCATGGACGGTTTGCAGGAACAGGAGGTGAGTTGTTCCCCGTTGTTGTTCTCCGAGCCAGGCGACACGGAGAGTGGAGGAGGCTTGCTGGTACTGTTCCTTAAAGAGCGGCTGGAGGGTCAACTTGCAGTAGTCTCCCCGGTGGCTCAAGTTCACCACCAACCTGCATGTTTTAAATTGGAACTTAATGAATGGGAGAATTTAAGGGTAATTCAGGGGTCTAGTAGTGTGGGGGTTCAGGGGTCTAGTAGTGTGGGGGTTCAGGGGTCTAGTAGTGTGGGGGTTCAGGGGTCTAGTAGTGTGGGGGTTCAGAGCAAAGATAAATTTTTAAATCTTTAAGTTCATTCAGTGTTTTTAATAAAGTATAATATGGTTTACTGTACAATTTCACAGGAATCTTTTTTGCTATTTAAGCTACTTGATTGGAAAGTTTGGCCCAAGCATACTTATTAGATTTCTGAATATAAGTGGCTAATATTGACTAACCTCCACAGAATGAAGATAAGAAGATGCGAGCCTATGCCGTCATTCCCCCAATCCTCTTGGAGGAGAGAAAGAGACGGCACCGTTATATTAACCAAAATGGACTAATAGAAGAACCAATTAGTGAGTATAAGGATCACAAAAATATAAATATCTGGACCGAGCAGGAGAGGGAAATATTTCGTGATAAATACTTACAACACCCGAAGAACTTTGTTGTGATAGCAAGTTATTTAGAGAGAAAGTCAGTGAGTGATTGTATCCAATACTATTATAGCACCAAAAAGAAAGAAAATTATAAGATGCTAGTGAAACGGCGAATAAGACGACCCCGAAAACCCAACAACCAGCCGGTCGAGGTGGTCCTGGGCATGAACTCCACGGGGGTGACGACGAGAGGTTCGGTGGCGGCATTACGGACGCAACAGCCCTCTAATAGCAACAGACCGACCATCTCCATGACCGGAGGACAGGACGAGCCCCAGAACTACACAGTGAGCGGCCAGCCCCCCTCCAGCGCGGCCAACACTCCCTCCCACTCCGTCACTGCCAACAACACCCCGGCCACCTCCCCGGGCCCGAGCATCGCCATGGACCACCCCACCTCTATGGGGACAACCGCCGAGTCTTGTAGCACCGCGACTACCAACACAACATCCACTATGTCCAGCAAAGAAGTTCAAGAAAAGGACAAGGAAAACCTATCTGTCAGGTGAGTCAAATTAGAGATGTCTTTTATTATGTGTGTGAGGTACAGCACACCCTCATGTTGCTCGAGGCTACACTGCCCTCACAACACAAAGGGGGGGGGGATCTCTGCCATCTGTGAGGTAGCAGTATGGTGTTAGAATTTATTGACACATATAAGGTAGAACTGTGAAACTTGTGATCAACTCTTCCTTTATCACTATAGTGGATTCCTCCATTATTTTGTCTAGTCTGTTTCCTCACATACATGGTCAGGTTACTTCTCTTCCCCATAAATGATGTATACTAATGTACTTCTTCGTATTACATTGGGTGAATTGAGATTTTTTTCTCCTTTGCGAACCTTTTCCTTCCGAGGTGTCTGCAACTGAGGTCAACGTACAGACTCTTCTCATTTATTCTTTCTTATACTACTGTGATGGATGTGTTGTGCTGTGGTGTTCCCTTTCCAGAACCAGGTCACATGATTGTTGTTTTGGTTCATCCCCGTACAGTAGCATCACATAATCCAGTTACAACCATGAGTATAACATTCATCCTTATAAAGTACAGCACCACTCAAAAAACCACTATTTGCTGTCACATTGCTGGATGCTCATATCCACTCGCTTATACAGTAGTGCATCCTTTATCCAATCTTCCCCTCCCTCCCTCGCACACAAAACCAAAGTCATGACAACTTGTGGTTTATGGAGAGAGAGAGGAGCTGGTTCTCAATGATGCTGGGTGATGGGTGACATGACACAGATAACCTAACTTCTTGCCTTCCCACAGTATGTTATAGCATTATTACATGAGAGGTGGTTGTCTAACAGTCTAGTTACTTCTTTTGTGTCTGATGACATAATATAATACAGTCGAATCAGTAGTAAGAATGCGGTGTACTCTTGTTCACACAGTTAGGAATGCATTTAGCTACTTACTATTTGCCCCTAACACGAACTTCAGAGAAGCAGCAGTCACTTGGGGTCGGTGGAGTGAAAGCTAATCTGCCGAACTGAAGAGACGCACAGCAAATTAATCACGATTCCTGAACTGTGGCATTATACGTGTCGCCGTGCTCTCAGTAAAATATCAACTTGTTCCTTACGATTCCAGGTTACATTGAGAGTTTTGTTTTATTAGTGTACTTAGGGCTACACATATTACAAAAGGAATTAGAGGAAAGAACACAACATTGGTTAAGTCCAGTAAAGAAATTCAAGATAAAGTACAGGGAGATCGTTTCTGGTGTTTCCCATCATCTAGACTGTCAAAACACCTGTGGCCTTTATCTTCTTTGCATTACAACATTCTTAGCTGTTTAACCTACTGCCACTCACTATGGACATACCTGGGGGCTTGTTCACAGCTGTCAGTTATAGCTATGGTGCAGTACTCTCAACAAAATCTTGTCGAACACTGTAAGCACTATGCAGTCTGAAAAATGAACGAAGAATCTGAAACCATTCCGAGACGACAATCCCCAGTCTGCTCATTCTTGCATCATCGTGCCCAGGTATTGGAGAAGTGTTTGGTGAAAGTGTATATACCTGTCTATCTCTTCTCCATATTTTTTTTTATAATCTGTACACATATTTAGATTTTATTTTTATTTTTTATTTTACATCAATAACTGCTCTTCATAAACATCGCCGTGGTAACTTGTCTTTCTGTCTGGCAGTTCAGTTTGCATTTGTACCTCCCAGTCCCGATTGGTCCCTAACTCTACATAACTTATTAAGATTGGTCGGGTTGGGCTAGGTTAAGTTAGGCTGGGTTATGTTAGGTTAAGTTGGGTTGGGTTGGGTTAGGCTAGGCTAAGCTAGGCTAGGTTAGGTTAGGTTCTCGTAGCCTACACTTAAACACGTTCTTGTGTACTTAGTGTGTTTGCCTGTGTATTTACTCTTAGATTTGTGGATATGTGTTTAAATAATGTAGTTACACTTAAGCCTGCAACTGTGTGTGTGGGTGACTGTGTGCATGTTGGTGGGTAACTGTGTGTGTGTGTGTGGGGATTGTTTGTGCTTGTTGTCTTGGCTCTTTCTTTCACTTCCTACACTTACCTTCCTCTTGACTCACTAAATGTTTCTACCTAACCTAACCTAACCTCTCGTTCATCCGTGTTTTATCTTCTCCAATGGTCGGATTTCATTGTGATACATTCAGAACTCTTTGATCACCTTCTCTTCACCAAAAAACTAAAAAATGGGAGAGCTTTAATGAAAATATACAGAAGAGTATTAATGCACGTGACATGTTAAATCCGCCCATCCGATCCTTGTCTTGTATCGTACTTTTGTGGTGTTTCAGTGTATGCTGCTCCCTCAGACTTGCCTAAGAGCTGTGACCACATACCGTACATCACAGATACTGCCACCTCATCAAAAGACATAACAAGTAATCCAACACACGTTTTATATGGCCATTTTCCCCACTCTTGCGTCGGCTTGTGGGAAAAAGAGTTTATAGGTTTGAAAGAAGAGAGAACATTTATATGTCTGCTTGTTTCATAATTATCTTTCCAATCACTCCTCTGATCTGGTGGTGAAGTTCTGCTGTATGTTATGATCTGTTGAGTCTTAAAAGTCCTCCAGGAAGACAGGTCAGACTCCTTACTCCCATCTTGCATCACTCTGCCTCATCTTTGGTATTCTTGGCGTCCGCTTATAATTTCCTCGCTCAATACAATGCCTCGGTCGTCCTCTTGATCCTCCAATACTTACACTAATACTTACACTGTTCTTAATGTCTTCATTGTCACTCAACATAATAGATATCCAGACTTTTTTTTTTTTTTCATTTCTCAGACTCTCATTGTTGACAGCTCTTGAATGTAGAACTCGACAGTATCATTTTGTTAGTACAGTATGTATGCTTCCCCAGTCTGATTTGGGATACCCGTATTTCTTCTGTGATTATTATCCATTCTACATCATTACTCCATATTGTATTTACCAACTACACACGCCTTTCTTTCTCTCATATTGCAGAGAAGTAATGTCTCGCTTTATGCACCATCACCATATAGTCACCCATACAGTGTTCTGTGGAGGCTGAGGTACTAGTGTATGTTATGGATAAGAGGTCCTGTACTGTACACTAGAACAATAACTGGTGGTTGTCCCCCAAGCATTTTGGTTCTTGCCTCACCAGGAATGTTTTCTGCTGTATAAAGTTATTATTTTGGTTGATGTATGTAAGTTAAGATGTTTTTTGCTTGTGATATATTTCATTCCATGTTCGGAGCAGTTTGTGTAAAGGACAGTGAAGGAGTTAACTGAAGAGATCACATTTGGATTTGTTAAATTCAATGTTGTAATGAGTTGTTAACCCCTTGTGTGTACAGGGTCTCTCTCTCTGTGCTGATTAAAATCGTCAGGCATTAACCAAATAAAACATTAAAAATGGTATCCCAGTAGTGAAGGGGTTACAACCTTGACTCGGACAAGGAGGATGTGTTGTAAATGTTAAAATAATAGTGGGAAATTTGTACTGTACTGGTCTTTATAGTTTCTATATTGTGCCAGTCTCTCTTATAACTCTTTATTATAGCAATTTCAACATAACGTTTTCACATCAGTATTATGACTCTGGAGGTCATTAAGCTGGCCACCTTGTACACATTAAGCTGGCCACCTTGTACACATTAAGCTGGTCACCTTAGAGGTCAACCTTTAGCACCACCAGCTCCTGCTTGATTTATAAGTTGGTTTAAACCTTGAAACATGACACAGGCTCCAGGTAGTAAGTGCTCTGCCTTCCCATATACTGGAGCTTGGAAATGTTGGCCATTGAAACTTAAGAAAATATTATTAGATAAGGATTATTATAGAGTCTGGTTGTGTGTTAGTTGTGTGTCGACATTAGTTATAAAATGCTGTGAGTCATGTGGTGCGGTGACACTTACTGTACCGTACTGTAGACCCTAAAGTAAGAATGTATCGAGACTGACTTGATCCATAACCACCTCTTCCTCCCGACAGTGACAAGCCTGGCAGAAGAGAACGCATACGGAATAAAGAGGACGACAAGACCAAAGATGCCCAGGATTCCAGCGATGACGATAATTCTGCGGAACACGGTAAGTACACTACACTCACCTGTGGCTCCTCCGCCCCACCCCATCCCTCTTCCTCCACCTACCATCCCTGGAGGAGGACATAGGAAATCTCGTATTATGTCCTTGCTTCTGGGAGACTTGTGAATACTATACTGAACTGTATAACAACTCCCAACAAGGGAAGCGACTCTACAGTATTATCTTCATATGAGTTTATTTTACCATTCCCTCTGCACCTCAGAAATTTATGATGGGAGAAATAAAACTGCAAGAGCTGTGTGTTACGGGTGTATAGACTAGAGGATTAGAGAGAGTGGAAAATTATCATTAATGTTGGATGTGATGTTAACGTCTTGTGGTGTAACGTGATGTAGTGTGATCTGGGTATCTAGCCACCTTCGGAGCCAGAAGGTGAGGGAGCCATGTTTACGTCGTAGGTCTTGGCGATGTTCTCGTACTTTCCACACACTGTGCTGCTAGAGAATGAGGACGAAGACTTGGGTACAGAGGTGGATTTTATCATGCCTTAATGCTTCCTCATTTGGGTAAGGTTCTTTAGTGAGCAAAGTCAGTTACTGTGAGGACTTTATTTACCTATTCTACTCCTAGTTAATGGATGATAAGATGAATCATTATACCCTAATCTGTCTTTGAGTTTCAATCCTTCGAGCACCAATTAAAACATAACTTTCTCTCCGTCACCTGAATAATAAAAGACTATACAAATTAGAGATGTTCCTCGTGCTAGAACACAAACAGATAATCATAACATTAGTATTATTTCCACGGTGGGAGATGATATATATATATATATGATTTGTTTTGGCTATTTTATCTAAGGACCAAGTACCTGTTCTCAGCTGTGTGTTGAGAGGTGGTGTGTGGTTGATATAGGTAGTAGTACACAGTATCATGGAGGTACTGAAGGTAATTTAGGTGTTGGCTGTGTGTATGTATGTATATGTGTGTGTGTGGTTCTTCTTCTGTGTTACGTGATATTAATTTTTACAGAACTGTCATTTATTTTGTTTTTAAATTACATCCAGGTTAGAATGTAGGAGTTGTAATGAGTGGTTGTGGTAGGTTGTAGAGCAAGACAACGTGGGATAATGTTGTGCTTTAGGTCGGCTTCCTTAATTCTGAAGTTGGTTTATGAAAGAGGATCAGATGTAATGGTGATAGACTTTATTATAGATATTGTACATAGATAAAGTATAGATGATTCTTATCTATATACTGTATATAGAAAGGTCATCATAAGGTTCTAATGACAGCGCTGAGTTCTAGGTTTAGTGTTGGTACAGAGTGATCATTACTAGGTGGTTAACGGGTGCTTCCTGTGTAAGATATCTACTGGGGGGAGTTTGCCATTAGAGACACACACACACGTGGTGGGATGACGGGTGCTGCCCTAAGTTTGTACACTATTGGGGTTGCTTTAGGTTTGATCTTATTGCCATAGAATGAGTTTGTGGTTACACTTACATCTAACATAGTCACCGACTGTGTTTACGGTACACGGAGGTCTTATGCTGCCGTGGTGGTGATGGTGGGGGTGCTGGCCGGGGTGTTGACGGGCGTCGGGGTGGGGGTGGTAGAGGTGCTAGTGGAGGGGGTGGGGTTGTTGTTGCTCTTCTTGTTGAAGGAGGAACTCTCCTCCTCCTGGTGACACAGTCGGCGGTGCTTGTGTACGAAGTAATAACTGGGGAACTTTGAGCCGCAAGTCTTGCAGGGGAAGTACTGCACATTGAGGTCCAGGATCTTGAGTCCTTCCGAGGGAGCGGGAGAGACGGTCCTGCCGCTGAAGGGGGACACGCTGCCACTCTTGATGCTCTCGTTGATGATGGAACTGTTTGCCCCAGAGTTGCTGCTCTCTCCCACCCGTTCTCGCATTCCCGCCTGGCTGCCACCATCTGACAAGGAGGTTTCCACAGTCCTGGGAGAAGAGCTGCTTGTTCCTTGCTGTTTATCCACCTCCACTGTGATGGGGTTGATGTGGCGACGCATGTGTTTCTGAAAAGTTAAAGAATGTATCAGACACTTGTCCATCTTCTGCCTCCAAGAGTTGAGCAAAAAGTGGTGTGTGTTTTGTCACCTAAATAATATATGACCCATCAGTACTGTTAGTGTCATGCAACACATGTCAACTGAAAATGATTTTATAATTATTTTGTGACAACTACTGAATGATACTGACATTTATATTTACTACAGATGCTATAATTATACCTGTAATACCAAGATATGGTGTGTGTGCATGCAGTTAGAAGAAGCCTCACCTGGTAGCAGTAGTGACTCTTAAAGGTGTGGTTGCAGTACACACAGTGGTAGGTGCGACTGACTTGGTTGTTTGGCATGGGGGGTGAAGCGGCCAGGGCATTCCTCTGTGCGTCTCCAGCAGCGCGCAGCCGTAGGATGTTGGCGAGTCCGTTCCTCTCCGGAGCGCCTAGCGGACTCCCACCAGTCTGTGCCCGGCTGCTGTTATCGTCGCAGGAGTCTATGTCATCAACGTTGATCTCGGTCTCTGTTTCGGAGTCATCGTGGCCCAGTAGAGGCTGTTGGGAAGATATTGATTCATGTTAGTACAATCACGAGACTTTTTGATCAATTGTTATCATTAGTGGCTGTCAGTAAATCTTTGAGATGCTTTTATAGAACATAGACAGTGAGATGATTTGGCCTCATAATGAAACAATAAATGAGGGGGAGGGGGCAGAGATACAGGTAGCAGAAGGTCGGAGGGGGGGGGGGTGAATTGCTGTGTATTAAAACATTGGTGTCTATTGGTATACAAAATATAGAAGAAATGTTAAAGACAGCGCAGAAAATATTTGGAGTCCAGGGCCGTGGTTACCAACCCTCAGATACTTACATTAGCTTTGTACGCCCTGTTGATGACGCGCTCAAAGAAAACGGGGCCATCGCACGCCGCCACGTCAATGACCACAGCTCCCGTGCTGACCTGCCCTCCGTCGTCCAGGGCCGTTTTGTGGGGGTAGCGAGGGTTGGCGTCCGGAGATCTGTTTTCATCCGAGCGTTGCGCTGTGTTCCTCCTCTCCTCCCCTCCAACACCCTCCTCCATTGTCTCCGTCTCTCTCGTCAAATCTGTTCCATAGATGGTCATAAAAGATCTCTCTCATAACACTGTCTACTTACATTTCCTCCAATATCTCTCTATAATAAACTTTTTCACATTATGGTAGAACAGGTAACGAGTTGAGAATTGTATTTTGGACTTTTGGACTTGAACGAGCTCTTTTGATACGCAGCAATGTGGTGCTATGACGAGAAGACTGATTACTACCCAAGAAGTTTTTACTAAGCTGTGACGACATTACCTTGGGGTGGGTTGAGTGGGTGGTGAGGTGGGCGGGGTCTGGTTGGGGTGGGCCTGACGATGGTGGTGGGAAGAGATGAGGAGGCTGCTGCTGCGTGTTGGGGTGGGGGGACGAGCCTGGCCAGTCCCCGCCACACACTGAGGGCTGGTGGCACGTCGGACAGGCCCAGGGAGGAGGTGGTGGTGGTGGTCGTGGTGGTGGTGGTGAGCAGGGCCTGGCACAGCGAGACCACCCCGGCCATCTGCAGCAGGTGGCCGGCCAACAGCACCTGCACAAACACACACACACACACACACACACACGAGAGAGAGAGATGATGATAGTACCACCAAACACCTCATGACAGTGACCACACAGCCTAACAACATTCTACTATTAGATTATTGGGTCACCTCTATTACTGGCAGTTAACATGTTTAACTTTATGTAACTCCTGTACTGATTTTCTAAATGAGACTGAAGTGGACAGGTGACTAATACTAACACCACACTAGACTTACAAGGAGGAGGTGGTCAGTTGGTTGGACTTACTGGAGGAAGCAGTGAGTGACCTTTTGACCAATGTAAAAACTATGAAAAAATAAAAATAAGTAAATAAGACCACATGATATTTTAGGTCAGGTTGGGAGTAGATTGACAAGACTGATGTGAAGTTTGTTTGCTCTGTGTTATAAGGGAGGCAAATGGGAGGGGTGGGGGGGGGGGAACACTGGATGGAGTAAGAACATTATTGATAGAAGTTAAACAAAGACCAAATTGGGTGGTGGCACTCTTACAGTGTGTGTGCTGTAGAGGCTTTAATGAAGGAGGGTGGCAATGGTAGGGTCCTCGTTACTCTATTGTGGTTCCTGTTGATGTATCTGTCTGTCTGTCTGTCTGTCTGAGTCTATTGTCCCTGTTTCTTATCCGTATCATCGCAACATTGTTCTTGAGCTTAATACAATAATGTATGTGTATAGTTGTCATGGTGTGTATATGTATTGAACTGACTAGACCAGAGAAAGATAGAGAGGAGAAGACAGTAGAGGCAAGTTTGAGAACGTTTAGAGGGATAGGAGGAGTGTGGCCAGAAAGGGGAAGCAGGGAGGGTATGTATTAGCTATAGCAGAGTGACAGGTGTGAGGGAGAGAGAGGAGAAGTGGAGTGGAGGGCGACACTTACCTCATACAGGGTGGAGGGAGTGAGTGGCAGACGGCCAGTGTACATGTAGGTGAGGACGGCAGCAAAACCCGCCGGCGGTACATGAGGGAGGAGCAGCCTGACGTCCCTCTGGCCACTGCTACTGCTGCTGCCGCCACCTCCCGCCGCTCCCACAGCCGCCCCCCGCAGGTAAGCGCTGTGGGAGGCGAGGACGGAGGTGTGGGCGCGGAAGAGTCGGCCACCAGCCAGGACCCAGGCGTCGTAATCCTCGTCCTCCTGTAGCAGGGGACACAGTGGGGGAGGTGGACGAGTCGGCCCACTGCTGCTGGTCTCACTCATCCTACCTCTACTACACTTGCTCACTGACTGACTGGTTGGGCCCTGTGTAGTGGGATGTTCAGGCCCCTGTGTGGTAGGGTGAGCTTGATGGACCCCTTCCTGTAGGTGGGTTCCTTTTGTGGGTGAAGTTGACGAGTCTCGTTTCGTTTAGGTGATGGTGTTTATTTTTATTACTGTTTGGTTGATCTGTTTAAGACTCGCTTGGTTGAGTGACCGATGAACATTATCTACACTCGTCACCTGTGTTCGTGTCTTCTCAACCCTTCTTGTGTACGGCCTTTTGTGCGGGGGTTATCACTGGTCTGCCTCGTGGTTGTCAGCGCCAGTCTCCAACACCTGGTTTACACTAACTTGTACGTCCCACAAATTTGTTCTTACAAGTGGGTGTCATCAATGTTGTGTTTGGAGTCGTTTTCCCCTACGTGGTTGTGTTTAATCCTTCCCACAAACGTCTTCACGCACGTGGTTCTCTCTGGTCTTGTATAAACTTTTTCTGTAATACATCGATGTCAGTGGTAGTTCCAGAAACGTTTTCACCCACGTGGTTGTTTCTTAGTTCCCCAGAAACGTTTTCATGCATGATGTTATCAGATGGAGTATCATCAAACGTTTCCTTACACGTGTTTTTATTTAGTCTCGCCACGTATGTCAGCACCGACAGCACACTCTTACACAGCTGTCCTGAAAAACTGAACAACAGTACACGTCATCATCAACTCGTAGAGCTGTTTTTAATGAATCGCTTTGGGGGTAGGCTGGTGTGTGACGTCTACCAGGAGCTGAGGTACAAGTACTTCCTCACCCGTCGGTGGTTTGGCCCAGACTGACGTCCACGTTGTTGGGTGATGTATAAATAAGTCTTGGCGTGGGTGCGGCGTGATTGGCCTGCCTCGTTCTGCGGGAGCCAATAAGCGGCAAGCAAATAAGAGGCCGGTGGGTCGGGTCGCCCCTTCCTCCTTCCCTCCCACCTCCTCCACCCCAACTATCAGCCTCCCCCACCCTACCATCTTTTGGGAATTGAATACAGCCGAGAGTTGTTCCTGCCAGACTGACCCACTGGCGGTCATTTTGGGGTCGTGGGGAAGGAGTGAGCTTCTGGGATCGTCGTGACAGGTGTGCGTGAGTTAGCAGGTGCCAGTGGGATGTTAACAGGTGTTCGTGGTGTTAGGTGATAGCAAGTGTCTGTCTCTCCGTCTCTCTCTCACTATCTTTTTAAGTCTCTTCTTTTCCCCCCACGGCTTGCCTATTCCTCTCTCTTTAGTCTTCCTCTCCCTCCCCTTCTGTCCAACCCCTTCCTCCCTTCTACTTCCCTCCTTTCCTCCCTTGTCCTTCCCTCCTTTCCTCGCTTGTCCTTCCCTCCTTTGCTCCCTCCTTTTCTCCACTGTCCCTCCCTTATTACACCCTCCTTCCTTTCTCCTTTTCCCTGCCCTCCCCTCCTCCTCCCTCCCTCCTCCCTGCCCTCCTCCCTGCCCTCCCTCCTCCCTGCCCTCCTCCCTCCCTCCCTCCCTCCTCCCTCCCTCCTCCTCCCTCCCTCCCCTCCCTCCCTCCCTCCCTCCCATCATTTCTGTCCACCCCCTCCTGTACACCCAAAACATGTTGACACACTTCAAATTGTATTTTCTTTGGAGAAGTTGAGTTGGAAGGTCTCGGAGAAAGGCGATCCATTACAGAATTAAGCGTGCACGACTGTCGGTGAGATGTGAGAAGGATGGTGACGGTGGGCAGGGAGGGTGATGGTGACTGGGGAGGGAGGAAGAGTGGTGGTGTTAACAGGAGGGGGAGGAAGGAAGGGGGAGGTGGGGGGTATAGATCCGTAGAAAGGGGAGGGGAAGGTGAGGGTCAGAGGGGGAACGAGAGAGGAAGAGGAGGGAAGTAAGGGAGGAGTAAAGAGAGAGAGAGAGAGAGGGTGGGAGAAAGAGAGGAAGGAAGGTAAGGGTTAAAGAGAGAGAAAGAGCAGGTGAGAGAGAGGGGGTGGGGGTGAGTTAGCTTACACATGTGAACATCGGTCCTAGGCGCCCCACCACCACCACCTAGCTAGCAGCATTTTGAATGAATCAACACAATATACCTAATGGTGTTTACTTATGGCCCCACCGCTCCTACCACTATTGCTACCACCATTCCTACCACCATTCCTACTATTCTTCCTACCACTATTCCTACTACTCTTCCTACCACTATTCCTACTACTGTTGCTCGTACCACTATTCCAGTCACTTGCTACCACCATTCCTACTTCTATTTCTTCTACCACTACCATTCATTCCTACCACAATTGCTACCACTACCACCATTGCTACTACAATGGCTCACGACTACCACCATTTAAACCACTGTTACTACCATTCCTATCATTACTTTGAACGTTACTACCATTGTAACCACAACCATTAACACTGCCATTGTTGCTACCATTACTACAATTACCACCATTACTACCATACCATGATTTTCACACACACACACACACACACACACGTTAAAGAATTAATGTTTTTATCGCCAATAATTAAGACAAAGTTGCTGTATGATTATGGGCGAATGGACGGGCTAGCGAGTGGGTGGCTGGGCGGGCGGGCTAGCTAGCTAGCTAGCTAGCTAGCGGGTGGTTCAGCGGGCAGGCTAGCGAGTGGGCGGGCGGGCAGCGAGTGGGTGGTTGGGCGGGTGGTTTAATGGGTGGGTGGATGGGTGGTTAGTCGTGGTAAGGAACCCCCATTCCCTTTCCTAAATCCTGAACGTGGGTCATTTTTTTTTACCCCGGCGTGGGTTTTAAGTTTAGTGAGACCTCTGGGGGGACACTTTTTTTTTATCCTGGCGTGGGCATTTTTCCCCGGCATGGGCGTGGCGGCGGGCGTGGGGAGTGTTTGTTCCGCGGCATACGGGATGAGCGCCCCGGTTCACCTGCCTAATTAACAGATTGCCTGCTTATAAATTAATTAACCCCCCTCATCCTCTCCTCCGTCGACCGCTCCGAGACCTTCCTACCGCCTCCAGCAGCCCCGCCTCAAGTACGACCTGGAGGAGGGCTGGTGAAGGAGGAGGAGGAAGAAGAAGAGTGAGGGCTGGTAGTAGAGGAGGTGAAGGAAGAGTATGAGAAGGAGGAGGAGGAAGAAGAAGAGTGAGGGCTGGTAGTAGAGGAAGAAGAGGAGGAGGATGTTTGTGTTTACAGAGACCGTTGATGTTTGTGTTTACAGAGGCCCCTGACCCTGTAAACACAAACATCAAGGGTCTCTGTGAACACAAACATCAAGGGTCTCTCTGAACACAAACATCAAGGGTCTCTCTGAACACAAACATCAAGGGTCTCTGAACACAAACATCAAGGGTCTCTGTGAACACAAACATCAAGGGTCTCTGTGAACACAAACATCAAGGGTCTCTGTGAACACAAACATCAAGGGTCTCTGTGAACACAAACATCAAGGGTCTCTGTGAACACAAACATCAAGGGTCTCTGAACACAAACATCAAGGGTCTCTGAACACAAACATCAAGGGTCTCTGAACACAAACATCAAGGGTCTCTGAACACAAACATCAAGGGTCTCTGAACACAAACATCAAGGGTCTCTCTGAACACAATACGTTGGAGGCATGACTCGTGACGTTGGCTGTGATTGGCTGAATTAATACACTGGCTTAGATTGTGATTGGTCGAACTAATACACAAGCATGACCTTTAAGTGCATAAATATATAGAGAAATATAATACAACTTTTAAACCACTTTACTGTTTATTAAAGCTTTTGATAGTTCATGTTATCTTTCCCCGTGTACAGTCCAAACTTTTCTTAGGACGTAAGTATAGGAAGAGTGTGGTGACTGTCCCGTAGGTTAGGTTAGATCAAGGTAATATTTCACTATTCTTGTATATTTATCGGTTGTCGTGGATTAAAACTATTTCTCCTGGTTATTGAAAATATAATATAATCCCATTGCGCATTGATACACATATAGATGGGACAGTGTGTACAGCGCATGTCGTTGATATGGTCCAAAATGGGCGGGTTTTTTTTTTAAGTTTGTTGTTAGTATGTAAGAGCCAAAGCCACTTCTACCATTACCACCATCACGATCCCCGTCCACAACCCCCTCACCACTACCCCTCTTACCACCACTACCCCTCCTACCACCACTACCCCTCCTACCACCACTTTCCCTCCTACCACCACTAGCCCTCCTACCACCACTTTCCCCCTTCCACCACCATTTCTAACTACCACCCCCTTCTACCAACACCCTCCCCCCGCCAGCACCAGCCGCGGTAGGAGCGAGGGCAGGGCAGGTTTGGTAATTAGTTAATACAGAGGCTTCACTTTAATGAAGGCCAAATATTGGCTAATTTCTGTTTCTTGCTCTCCGGGTAAGTTGTAGTGTTTAACGGCTTTAATTACGCTATTACCCGCTAATTAATTGAAGCTAGAACCTAACTCAATTATTCAGCTTGGGTTTGCATAGCCTAGCCTGGCCTGGCCTGGCCTCCCTCCTGCTGGTGCTGGCTTGTCGGAGTGAGCTAGCTTTACCCATCTTTTTCTCTATTCTCTCTCTCTCTCTCTCTCATATGATGGGGTAGGAGTGAGGTAGAGGAGGACCGAGGGTATGGTAGGAGTGAGGAAGACACCCCTCCTTCAGTAGCAGTTGTGTAGGATGTAAGGAGGAAGACACACGAGATCCTCAAGTACTCCTGCACCTACCGGAGGAGGAAGGAAGGACTGGGTGGTGAGGAAAGGAATGTGAGAGGAGGAGGAGGTGGGGGAGTTAAATGGTGGGGAAGGAGAGGAAAGGGGATGGAGAGGGAAGAAAGGAGGTAGGAGAAGGAAGGACGAGGAAGAGTGGGGGAGGGGGGGGTGAGGTCTTAGGTGGTGTGACTCGAGAAATTAAGAAAAATACAAGAATCTCTCTCTCTCTCTCTCTCTCTCTCTCTTTCCCTACATGTGCCTCACCTCAAGGCACCGCGCCGCTCCTCACCTCCAAGTGCCTTAATTATTCATAATCAATCGGATAATTGAAATTTGTGGAGGGTTTCCCTGAGGGGGGGAGGGGTTAGTAGTTATGGTGGTAGGGGGTAGTAGTTGTGATGGTGGTAGGGGGTAGTAGTTGTGATGGTGGTAGGTGTAGGGGAGGGGTAGTAGTGTTTGTTGTGATTGTTTTAGGTGAGTTAGTTGATAGGATGCGTAATGTCTGTTATGATGGTGGTAGGTTGGGTAAGGAAAGTGGGTTAGTTGGCTGGTAGATGAAGGTGTGTGTGTGTGTTTGTTTGTTTGTTTAGAAAGAGAGATAAAATACATTTCTAAAATCTCTACCCATAAACTGGTCAAATTTCTCAGCAGCTCGAGTTAGGTGTGAAAATCAGGGAAAAAAGAACCACACACACACACACACATCCTCGCTACACCTGTATACACTCACGCCAGGTGTTTCTGGTAATTACTGAGGCGTGTAAAGTGTATTTAAATGGTGTCGTGAGTGAATGAGTAAATGCGTGGCTGTCAATACTGTATACTGTGCTATTTCTTGTTGATAATTGATGGCTGACAGACCTGGGCTAATGGTGTGTGTGTGGGGGGGGGGGGTGTACTGTAGGTAGGTGAGTGACAGAGAAAGAAAATAAAGGCTCTGTTCAATATACAGTATGTAGAAAAAAATAAGCGTATAAGGGGTCAGGTTAGGGTGTGCAGGTGCTGACAAATTTCCCTGTACACGTGTCAATACTGAGTCAACTTGTGGGTCATATTATTATTAAGGTAGTGAACGCTGCTCCTTTTCGCGATGAAGATTTTATTTGTCATAACATTTAAATTATAACATAATGACGTTGTAATTATATCAGAATATAAATGGGAATTATGTACGCATTTATAACACATTTTTTTGTTGTGTGTGTTGAAACGTTTCTAAAATATGTACATAATTATTGTAGTAGTTGTTGTATGAGCATTTTAGTGTATGATGGTACTAACAAGTATTTGCATGTACAGTTGTATACAGCGTGAAGGTGGAGGTTAAGTTGACTGACAGTGAGGGTGGGTTGGTATTTGTGTAGATGCATTGGTGGTAGTTATCCCTGTACGTTTATGGTCGTGGTTGTGTGTGATTAGTGGCGGGGTTTGTAGTGGTTGATAGTTTATATTTACTGTGTATATGTGTGGGGTAGTTGGACTGTGGTGGTATAAGTTTCGATGGTAGTTAGGTTAGCAGTGGTGATCGTAGTTGTGGTAGTGTAGGGCTAGTAGAAGCAGCGGCGTGCAGCAGCAGCAGCAGTGGTAGAGCATGCATATTTCAGGGACTAATCTGTGTTATGTGGAGTGCGGGAGAGCGCGGGCAAACACGCGTCTCTCACAGTATTCATCCGCCAAATGCTTCTGTCAACACACCTTCCCCGGACCCCTCGCCACCACCACCACCGCCACTACCGCCACCGCAGCCTAACTTCACTAAACCGATCACCCGCGCGCCCTTCCTTGACATGTGTGCATATTAATCTTACCCACAGTCAATAAGGAGGGCTGTTTCCCCGCAGGTTTTACTGGCGGGCGGCAAGCAAGATTTTTCCCGCCATTTTTACATGGTGTTTATGGTATCTGGGAGGTGGGCGCGGCGCTGCTGCTGGCTCTCTGACTCTAGTGAAAGAGCAAACTCCCCTTGCTTGATGTTATTTTACTAACTTGCCATCCCGCTGATACATGTTACACTCTTTGTGCCTTTGTCGAGAAGCGGCCGTAATGATTATTAAACAACACGTTTTTAGGGAAAATTGACGTAACTTGGCAGGAGGGCGACCCTTGTTCACTACTAATAGCGTCGTCCACCACACACATACATACGGAAATATAAATTCTCTTAATGCCAAATGGAGATTTGTTTATGCGTTTTTATATCTGCTTTCATTTTTTGGTATATTTAGCGTTATAGCTCACTTCAACAGGCCGCACTGACCAGGGCCGAACATGTGTTGACTGCGTCATAGGAGTTGTAGTATGGTCAGTTGGTCACCGTAATAACATTTGGCATTTATTGCCCTCAAAGTCACTCACCGCATTTGTGTTTGTCTATTGTATTAGATGTCTGTTGTGTGTTAAATTTGAATCAACTGAGATTGTTATATATATATATATATATATATATATATATATATATATATATATATATATATATATATATATATATATATTTCATGTAAATCCACAATGGAAACGTGGATAAGATAAATCTTGATAAAATCACACGGGAAAATGGAAACAACGGAGTACCTTAGCTTTCGTCTTGTTTGTTAGTCCACTGATGTGTCGTGGATATAGAATTGTAGAACCTATTACAATATATAGATCTTTGTTTAGGACTTACAGAAGAACTGCTTGGATGTCTGAACTTACTTTATAAACACGCTTTATTAATTATTGTTGTGTTTTGTTATCGTTAAGATATTTTCGTGTGTTCATTTATCAAATGAGTAGAATAAATTAGGGGTTTTGTCACAATAATATATAACTCCCAAGATTTATTTAGTGATGTATTTCAACGTGGGGAGTGTACACAGTTGTAGGAGGCAAGTGACTAGTCTTGCAGCCTAATGGAGAAATTATAATTATCGATGGCGGGAAAGGTTGTGTAGTGACTGGAATTAAATGCTACTAAGAATCAAGTGTTGGGGGGAGGGTTAAAACGCTAGGATTTGTGTATATGTGTATTTTTAAGTCTTGTGATATTTTAAGGTTAATTTTGACTAAGGTGGTATAATGTGTTCGAGTTTTGTACGTAAATTCTGGGTTGTTTTTTGTAGCGTAGTGAAAGTCTGACAAGTGTGGGTGTTGTGGCAGGGAAAAAAATTCGGAAATTAATATTGGTTTTAAGATTTATAAAAGACGGTATTGTACATTAATCTCTCAGAAGTTCCTTAGGTAATAGGTAAAGATAGGTTATTAGAAGTAAATAATAATAAGACGGAGAAAAGTAATTATATATATATATAGATAAAATCACACGTGTGATTTTATCAAGATTTATCTTATCCACGTTTTCATTGTGGATCTACATGAAATATATGCTGATAACCACAAGGATATACCTGGATCACGCGCACCTACAGTGATTGATTTGCATATATATATCTATATATATATATATATATATAATAATAATAATTTTTTTAATGAAGGAAAACTTAACTCGAAATATTTACACTGCAAAATGAAGACTCGATCGTGTATGTACAGACTAATGGGTTCTTCATCGACAAGATAGAGGGGTGGTGGGGGGGTAGGTTAGGTTGTCGTGTCACATGAAGACTTTGTGGCAAGAAGTGTTTAATTTTAGTACAGAAACCTTTGCATTGTAAAAAAAAAAAGAGAGACGTAGGTGGCCTGTACTAATGGGTTGGGTTAGTTATCAGAGGAGGTGATGGTGTTGCGTGTGGGAGTTTCTGGTGCGGCTTAAGTGCGGGTAAACACAAGCATACAGTAGTTTAAAAACTTTAAACTTTTTTCTTCTTCCTAAAACGTTGGTCTGATGAATCCCAGCCTAGTTATGTTTGTGTGGCGGTCATTTTGAACTCTTCCTGGGCCTTCTTGATGTTTCTTTCCCTTCTCTTTCTATCTTCCTGTCTCTCTCTTCCCAAAAACAAAATATACCTCTACCTGCCCAACACATCATCTCTATCAACACCAGATTGAAATGACCTTTAAACCTTCTTGTTTTTTCCGGGTTCAGTAACTAAAGGTTGGGATACAAACAAAACACACATCATAAGCAGGATATCAATAATGCGGCCACGTACTCATTGTAAATCATTTATGACTTGTAATTGTTGGTTCGATGGTAAAAGCCAGGTTGGGGGGGGGGGCATTAACTCAATTGAAGCACTTAAGTGGTTCCTTGAGTATTTCACTATCAATTCCATTACATTAAGAGGAACGGCAAGTGTGTGTGTGTGCAGATAGGTGTATGAGGTGTGTTTTTCGTCACATCTGTTCTGGTCAGTAGACAAGAAACAGCAATAAGTTTCATTGTCTTTAAAGGATTTTTTTCTTTTATCTCTTGAGTTGTTGAGTTTCTTGGTTATATATTCGAGGAGTCTTAAGAGTAACCACATGGATTTTTATTTACATTTCCACTAATATGTGACTCAGGCAAAGTCATTACGGTGTCAGGTATTTGCATTGATTTTGACAATATTGGTGGGTGTATGTGTGTTGGAGGAACTTCTACCTTGTATGTGTGATGAAGGAACTTCTACTTTGTGTGGTGGGAGAACCTGTACCTTGTATGTGTGGTGGAGGAACCTATACCTTGTATGTGTGGTGGGGGAACCTGTAGCTTGTATTTGTGGTGGAGGAACCTGTACCTTATCCTTCTGATTCTCACTCCATCTTGTATAAAAGGTTTTGTTTTATCAAGTAATTTTATTCCTTGAATTAAACAACTGTATAGTTGTCTCCCACCATGTAATAATCATTTACATATTTATCCAGGTCTTGTCAAGACAGTGTGTACTGATAGTTGTGTTTGTCAACAGGTAAAGGGGGTCCTCATGAGTGCCTGGTGTGCAACGCCCAGTTGGAACACTACGGTCAGTCTCGGCCCGTGGCTCCCGGCCAGGCCTCCCAGTATGGACTTTCAGAATCCCACCTGCCTGCCAATCCTCGTGTCTGTAATGCGTGCAGATGTCGTGCCGTGCGCAGGAGGGTCACGCAGTAAGTCCCCACTATACTTGTTTACTTTTTATGGATATACCTGTACTTGTTCAGCCTGTAGGATGTAACATTTTCACCTAATATGTGATGTGATTATTGTACAGTCTTAAAATGTAAATGCGCTGGACCCATTTAATGGTGTTCTTAACAATATCTTAAATTTGTCACACTTTGTGTTTGGTTTACATTCTTTTCTGTACCATTGTTCTTGAACATTCATATCTTATTATGCCTTTATGCTTGCGGGTCTTCCAGATGCCCGATCCCGACTTGTCCAACCCCCAAGTGGAGGGGGAAGCGTCTGCGGCCATTACCCTCAAGGTGGGCGGAACTTCCCCCGGAGGTGAAGGAACCCATCATCAGAGAATTCCGTAAGTAGAGGCCTCGGCATTTAAGAGTTGTGAGGCTAATACATTGATTGGTCAGTCATAAGGTTTAATCCTCACCTCAAGCTCCCTGTCAGCTGCACTTCCCTATTAGCTACAGTTTTCTGTAGTAAGGCAACTCCAGCTCTGGGTAGAGAGATGAAGACTTTACTACAGTTTCTATTATATCATCACAAAGTTTTTTCTTTGGTTGGAGGTGACCGTCTGTAGTTTTGTCTACCTAAATCCACAATCCAGTAGGGTGTCTCATGCCTAATCTTTATCAATGTTACCCAGATGTTTGTCTCTTCTCCCCCTTTCACACCTCCTCTATGATTTTACACATGATTCTGGGTCTGTGCTTGTCTTGCTCTATGATTTAACTCATGACTGGGTCTGTTCTTGTCTTGTTCTCCATCAATCTCTCTTGTACACTTGTTCATCCCACATCCACTTTTACCACGATACCCCTGACCATCACTAACCGCTATTCCCTCATCCGTTATCAACCAAACATTTCTTTTTACTTTACTTCACATATATTACCAGGTTTTACACACACATATGTGCCATTTTCCCCTTGAACCTCTCTTCATATACTGTTAGCAGCTTCGATGATAAGTTTGGCAGATCTTGTACAATCAATATTTTATGAAGAAAGTGCAGTACTACATTCTAATTTGTCTGACAAAGTCACATATTTTATCTCACAACAAATGTTTCACACCACCTATGCTTCAGTACAATCATTGATGTGATTCATTTCGTGCACCATCAGAGATACCAAGTGATGTGACAAAGTGCTGCTCGGCTTGTCACAATCGCATAACCCGCAAGTTGGGTCCAGATGCTGAAGAGCCGGTGGATCCAACAGGCTGGACAGATGAAGATGTTGATGCGCTAAGATGTGCCCTGAGGGAGGTGAGTACAGTGTAGTGCCAGTCACCCAAGGGTCACTCGGTGTTGGTTTATGTTATCTTGATTTGGCCCTTTTTTCTTCTTCATTGATAATTACGTATTTCTCGACAAATGTCATTCCTAATTGTGTGGTCTCTGTACACACTCATACATTGATAAATACTTTTGAGACCGCAATATACTGTAGATGTTAAAATGAGATGTAGGTAAATTCAGTTTGTGTGTATTTTCTTTTAACACTTGTTTTCAGTACAGTACTAGTTTAAATGTGTACGAGTGGTGGTGTGTAGGCAAGAGTGTAATACAGAGTTCTCATCATAATTAACACAGGTTGGGTGTCATTGGTCAAAAGTTGCTGAGCGACTTCCCAACAAGACAGAGGGGCAGTGCAAGAGTTTCTACTTCAACTTCAAGAAAAAATACAAATACGATGATGTGGTCGCTGAATACCGTAAGGCTCGAGGTGAGTACCTACAGTGTCAATGCTGTATATGTTGTACTTTGTTGGCCAGGATGTAACAGTGTGATGGGAGGTCTAGGTGAAGGATTGCAACAGAGAGACAACTGAATTTGTTCTTGTTGGTTTAGTTCTTTAATATGCACCTTAGCGATGACTTTATGTAGTAAGTCTAGACTGGGAAGTATTTGTCCTGGAGCTGAAGTACAGATGAGTGAGAAAATGGAGGATAACTTGAGTGTATATTTGATGTGTTACTTATCCATTAGCTGTATCTGTCCATTTATCTCTCATATCTTTACTCCTCTCCTACTTTAGTGTGGAGGGAGAGGATGAAGCAGTGTGAAATCCTCAAAAGAGGGGGAAACAGCGAATGGTACAAGACATTAATGAAACATGTGCTTGAGTAACAAATGCTCCTCCCTTACTGATACATTGTTGACATGGCAGGTAAGGGCGACGGACCACCCACAGTTACAGACGAGGAGGAGAGTGGGTCGTCGACTTCTAGCTGTGATGAAGATGGTACTGTCCCGCCCCCTCCTGCTGGCCCAGATTCTGCCTCAGACACCGCCTCGGCTCCGTCCCCGGGTCCAGCCCACCACAACAACATTGATGGTAGGTTAACCCTTAAAATGGCAGCCATTATCAGTGGACATTAGCTGTAGGGACAGCAGCTATTACCAGTGGAAGTTAGCTGTAGGTGGTTTGAGGTTTCCAAGTGAGACAGTGAAAGGGAATGTCAGCACAGCACACAATTTTGGTGCTAGTAAGGCAAAATGGATCTTTCAAGCAATGCTGTAGTCTTGTAGAATACAGTATTAGCAAGGAGTGAGTTTTAGTAACTTATTCATATTACTTGTTAATTGTACTTGAGTCTTGATCTTTGAAGTAATTCATTTTAAACTTTGTGCTTATTGGTTTTAGTCTCCAGTGCAGACTGCCAAGTAGAAAATGAATAGTGTAGTTGGTAAGGAATTTGTTACTACTGCTCTCATGGTATTTCATTAACCCCATTCTCCCTGATGTTTTGTTAATTATCTTTCTCCCTGATATTTTATTTAATCCTCCTCTCCCCCATTCACTACCTCCCTATTCCTTTGATAATTTGTGTGCTCCCTCACTTTTTCCCTTCGCTGCCTACTCCCTATACACTGGGACTCATTTCTCCCCTCATAGAAACTCACATAGTGCACTGCTCCTGGAATGTATCAGTAGTATATTGCACTTCTCACACAGGTCATGTGATAGAGATACTGAGTGACAGGTTTGATTCTAATCACCCAATGTGTTACATGATCTATATTGAACCCCTATTTGCTCTTAATTTGTTGCCACAGTGGTTAAAGGTCTTATTTAGGAGAGTAATGTTCGTTTGTGAAGGTGATGAAGTGATAGGTGGTTTTGAAGGATTAACCCTTCAGTTAAGAATTACTAAACCAACACATCACTAAAATGTACGCTGCCTTTCTTGATAGACAAACATAACTACTGTTTTCTGATGTGTTGTCTAACATCTTGGAGGCTACTTTGTTAATTAAAGATGTAATTGAACAGGTCCTTACACATGGCAAAATCTGTGCTGAACTGTATCAATTATACGTCAATACTAATATTCTGTTTTCTTCTGTGTAACAGAGAAACGTGAGACTGCTGGGGCGGGCGATGGAGTGATGAAGGAGCCCTTACCACCAGTCACCCAGCCTCCCTCTATTGTACGGGAAGATTATGACTCTTCAGCCACTGCCAGCGCAGAAGAGGAGGGATTGGGTGGAGTTGGACGAGATTCACCCGAGGTTCAACACATTCCTCACCCAGGCGAGAGAAGACCCGCCCCCACAACACCCAGTAAACCTCCACATGCTCCTGCTGTTCCACCTAATTCCAGACCAACGCCAGAGAATGTTACAACATCGTCCAGTAATGTGCGGGATCTTATATTTCTTACAATTGAGAAGTCGTTGGAAGACAAGATCCCTAATCCTCCTACCAAGTCTCCACCTACTTTGCACTCCATTCTGAAGGCAACACATGGACGTCAAGCACCACCACAACCATCACCTGGCAGTCTAGAGTATCCGCGTGAACAGCGATTACCAGTTCTTGGTAGATACAATGACCCTCGGGCTGGCCTTCCCACAACTGATGTCCCAGTTTATGATGTTCAGTGTGAGGGACTCGACCTCAGTATTCATAAGCGTAATCGCTCGTCGCCACCTCAGCACCCACAACACCAGCCACCCCCGCCACCCCTTCAACACCCTCCCCAGACCCATCAACCACCACCACCACCTCCTACTTCAACGCCAAGGGATATTCCCACACTGACGGTGCGAGGCGGCGCAGAAGTGACAATCACCAGCAAAGAGCCACCACCACGGGCACACTCCAACACCACATACACTAAACCCCCTCATGAATCCTGGACCTTAACAGATCTGCGTAACAAGTCTCCGTCTGCTTTCATTGCTGATTCCAGAAACATGCCACACCAACCTCCATCAATCATGACGAGTGTGGTGGCTAGTGGTGCCTCTCCTTTAGTGTACACAACTCCTGTACGGTCACAACATGCCCAACAGGCATCCAAACCCAAAGTCAGCATGGCCCCACCACCACCACTAACTACTGTTCGTACTCAACACCCGCCACCACAGCCAGTCAGCACGGCTTCAAGGATCCAACTTAAACCTGAAAAGCAAGGGCCACTGCATGTGGGCTCAATAACCCACGGGACTCCAGTTAATCCACCATCTATTGTGTCTATTCCCATGTCACAGTCAACACGCTTTGACATGATGCCGAAATCAGGTATAGGAAAGGAAGGAGGCTCAATCACCCAAGGTACACCCATGCATCATGAACCAAAGCGTTCTGGCACAGGTAATCCCTATAAAGATATGGTGTTTGAACCCCGACCTGGAAGTGGCGTGGAGATCATCCCTCGACCAGCATTAACTACTCAGTACGATCGTGACATGTACCGAGGACCACGACCGCCAATCTCGTCAGCACCTCCCACCACCACTTATGCCTATCCAAGTTATGCATATCCTGCCAGACCACCATATATAGACTCTCAGATCAGTTCCCGTCAGATCATTGCCAATGATTACCTGACCTCACAACAAATGCCGAGACGAGTGAATGACAAAGACCCACGAGTATCACCTCGAGGGCGGGACCACAGCCCACAGCAGGACATGCGCGATCATCGTACTTTACCCGGGGCCACCACTGTCAACCGTATCATGGACTCCAGAGGAATTGACCCTCGAACAATAGACATCAGAAGTGTGGATCCTCGTTCGATCGACATACGAAACATAGATCATCGGAATTTAGATTCACGGGTAGATCCAAGGACCATAGAACACAGAATGGTTGAACTTTCCCGCAGCGGAGATGCCCGCAATGTGTACTACCCGGCGGGCGGTCCTCATGGATCATACCAACCTCAATCACAGTCTGCTTCTGTTTATCTTCCACAAGAGCGAGTGTCCAGACCACCCCCTTCTCCTGCCTCAGCTCGGGATGCCACACCAACACCGCCAACTAGTGAACCTGCTCCTTCACCGCATGAATTCCGATCTCCAGGTGTTTCTACGCCCACTCCTCCTCCCCGGGTTGGAGTCATCCAGAGAAGGCCACCCAGTAAGCCACCTCCTCATTTACCACCGCCTACAAGTGCATCGCCACGTACTGAACCTGGAGGTTACTCGCCACGGCATCCTCCGGGATCTGAAAACTTTCACGCTCTGGTGGATATTGCTGTGGCACAACGTGGTAGTGGGGCTTATCCTGTTGATATTAGACGGGAAAATAGATCACATCATGACCAGCAACAACTTGAGGGGTTTGAGAAGCAGCTTACAGATTCCATGAATCGGGGTGTTCGTCCCATGAATCCAAACAAACACGACATACGATCAACACCGCATGACGGACGGATCCCACCACCACATACTGATGAGCGCCTTTACTTTGAACAACACAGGGAATATGAAAGACAGAGAATTTTAGCAAAAAGTAACGAGCCCAAAGCTGATTTAGAAAATGATGCTGCAAAGGGATTGGCAGCATGTTTTAAAAAGGACGACCCTAAGACGGCGCCCTCCCCCAAGGGAAATAATCGCCCTCAAAGTGAAACGTTGACAGCTGCAAATTTAATAGATGCAATTATCACTCACCAAATCAACAACAACAGTGGAGATGGTGGTGGTACAGGGAGTGGAGGGGGAGGGGGTGCAGGGAGTGGAGGAGGCTGTAGTGAGCAAAGGACAATTAGAAGGGAGGGTGACGGTGGGTTGCCAGTAGTGGAATTAGACAAGCGTGTAAGATCACCGGCCGGTCCTCCACCAAAAGAGAAAGAGGTGGTGATGGTCGAGGACGGACCTGACCTGCGGCCTCCCAACCCTATTAATCACAAGGAGGGGTTGGGCCCTTCTCTACATGTACCTTCTCATCACCAAGGACCCAAGTCTATGAAAGCTCACGTGGACCAGATTATTCATAGGGAGTTTAATTGTGGGGACGGACGGAAGATGTCCGCTTCACACTTGACTTACAACCGTCCTGCCATTGAAATTCTAAGAACAGAGGGGCGGTCTATTGTTGGATCTGGGGGTCCACCAGCTGTGACGGTGTCACAGGTGGGTTATGAACACTGGAAGGTGCGGGGCGGCCTAGAAAAGGAAGGCAAAGAAAGAATTGAGTCACGATCGCCCCACCGCCCGCCACCCACCACAGCACCGCCCAGTACCCACCACCTCTCTGCTCAACATTTGGCGCCCGATGAACGGCAGATTATCAGGATTGCACAGCCAGTTTCTCCCAGGCCAGACCACAAGATGCGTACTCCTCCAGCTGCCCCTGCGGGTAGTTTTCCAGTAGAACCAATATCACCTCCCACATCCTCTGCCCCGTCCACTTCTGATCCAAACCACACTGAAACAAATGTACACTGTTATTTCCACAAGCGGCCATACCAGCCTGCGGCATCAAAAGAGGTGTTCGAGTATGTACGTTGCAAGATTGCTGAGGTGATGAGAACGCCAGATTCACAAGACGGGGAGATGCGGGTTCACGAGGACAGCAGACATCCCCGCTCTGGAACACCAGTTTCACAGCAGTCAGCACCCCAGCAGAACGCTCACTTTGACGTGGAGGATCCATCAAAAAAACGGCCACGCCCGGATCCAGGTGAGCAGCGGCCACCATCCCGTCCACGGTCTACAGGCGATATGGCGAAAGACAGACGGGAAGAGCCAACTGCACGTGACGACGTGGCAGACTCTCCTCAGTCAGGAGAGATGGTGATAGACGAGTCGCCACGTGATCATCCTCCTACTTCCAAATCTGGGGACATGGGGGGTGGAGGAAAGGTGGTATCAAAAGGAGGTGAAGCAGGTGAACGTTACCCACAAGGTAGCAGTGGGCCGGGTAGCCAGTACCCTTATCCCTATCCCGGTTTCCGTGGTCACGGTGGTCAGAGTGTAGGGGGCCCCGGGGCTCCCCCTCCCACCACCACAACTACCACTAGTAGTAATGCCAGTGGGGGACGCCACCCCCAAGGCTACGAACCAAACGTTGAACCCGTGAGTGACGATGACTGAAACCCCGGACTGGACAACTGCCGTGATAAGTGTTATCTGTGATCTGTTTTGTGGACTAGTGTTGTCGCGCCGCACTCTGGTGTACAAAGCTACCCCATCTCTATGTGTATATAGGAGTAAGTAGGTGGTTTGTGTTAATACTCAGGCTCTGGGTGTGAGGCCCCTGCTGCTACACCACGTCTTGCTGTGCCCACACCCTGCCCCCTCCCCCCCTTGACCCGCTCTCATCATCCATTCTTCTCCAATAGATATTTATGAACCTTACAAATACTGTGGTGACCTCTCCTTGTCATTTTCACCGCTGCTCTTGCCGGCCATTAACGTTGGTGTGTAGCAAGCGTGGCAGCGTGACCTGGCACCCCCGCCAGCCACGTGGAGGCAGCTGCCTACAACTGTGGCTGGTGGTGACAGCAGTGCCCACACAGACCATCGTAGAGAACAAAGCTGTCCTACTGGGGCACGGACGGCGCCCACCCGCTGCTATATTCAGACAAGTTCATTCCAAAGCCCCCGCAGGCCGGCCTGGCTGGGCGGTGGCGTGGGGTAGTCCGCATTGTACAGACCTTCCACTTGTTGAGGGCGGCGATGCGACGGACGGGTCCCCCCCACGGCCTCCCACGCTCTCCTACGCACCGCCGCCCAACTCTCACATCATTACATGTCAGAAATGTTATTTTTGTTGAAATAAAGATGCTCAAAACTTAATTCTTCATTTATTTCAATAATGTCCTTCATGGTTATAAAACATCTAATGCATACTGTATATACCAATACATACTGTAGCTGGATAGATTACCATTAACACAAGCCATTTTGTATTACCAAATACCCTGTATACTATTTTAATGACTTGTAACAGACCAGCACTCCTGTGATATACTTTCATTTGGACAGTTTAGGATGTGACACCTGCCTAGACTCTAACACACACATCTCCCTCTTCCACCACAAAGCTGTTTCACTCGAGCACTCTTCAGTTATAATCTATTTCCTTGCTCATATTCTCCCACTGTTAACTACACATCACTTATAAATTGGTTGTAAATGTAATAGAGCATTACCTGTACTAGGAACAATCTACACAATTCAGTCAGAACCTGGGTGAGGGTACAGTAGTCAGGATCATCGGCACCCATTTACATCCACTCACCCACATCTTCCTCAGTGTCACCACTCGCAGAAAAGACTGTGGGCCTCTTCCACACATTCTTCAGTTATGTCTGTGTATCTTGTCCCAGGCTGCCTTCAGGTTGAACACTGCATACTGGATGTTGTAGTCCTTGATGTTCTGCAGTGTTCTGGCTTCCAGAGTGTCTTCCTCCCCTCTGGCACTGGTTCCACCACCAAAACTTCACTCAAGAGGATTGATGATTAAATCTTAACGTAGCAAAGCAACAATCCACATTAGCTTGGGAGGAAACACCAATAGTAGTGTTGCAAGCCAAAAAAATGCCCTGGTCCATGGGTTGTATGAGTGAGGTGGTGTTGAGCAGCACAAACTTTACCCTGATGTACCCATCAGTACTATATAAGTCATCCTGAGGGAGGGCAGGTGCACTGTCAAGGATGAGCAAGGCCTTGACCTCTTGCCTGTAGATACCATGGACTGGCATCTGGAAGTGCTTGGCAGCATGAAGACATGGTGGAACCAACCTTCAAATATTTCCCAGGTGAATCAAGCATTTTTGTTACCACGACAAGACACAAGAAGGTTATCCATGGAATTGCACAGCATTTCCCACCACCTTGGGTTTTAATTTGTGGGTACCAGCCCATTGGCACCCAACAGCACTGACACACTGCTTGCTGGCCTTAGTCCAGGGGTGCTGGGATGCCATGGTGTTGTTAGGCAGGGACTACCAGTAGAGGCCTGTCTCATCCATGTTGTACATTTTGCACTTCGATATGTCATTGTCATGGATGAGCTGTTGCAGCAGCTCTTTGAATGGCTGGACACTCGCCACTCTAGCATTCTCACCAGCCACTCGCCTGTTGCTGATCCTGTGTGAGCCACTCGAAGCTTCCATGAAAGTCAGGCACATCCAGCAGCATAACAAATCGCTGGGCAGCATCACAGAGCTCAATGCCACGAACAGTAACACCACTGGCTAGTTGCTGCATACAGTACACAACATTCACATTTTTATATTTAAAGGTATCCATACGAATATGGGTGAGACAACCTTCCTCACTTGTGTCTGACATAGCTTTCTGTTCTTGTCTCTCCTTGCCATATTTTACATTGTAGCTGGTCGACATTCCCACTCCATTCTCCTCTATTAACAATTTCATCGACACATTCTTCTCAAGTTTGTTGAGAATATCCAATTTTTCTTTTATGTAGTCTTTTTGTTGGACTTCTCATCCCTTTGGTGCCACTTTTTTTTCTGTAGCTTTCAGCATTGTACACGTGCAGTAAAGTTACAGTACACACAAACACTACACACTAAGCTACAGTTTGTAACACTGTCCATTCTGCTATGAACAACACCATACGTACAGTGCTCACTTACAGAATGTTAATTTACAGTAAATGTACTGTACACTGTAATAATTGTTTACGTCTTAACACTACTTTAACGGTGTATTCTTAGCTGATTGTGTTCTGGTACAGTAATGTACTGTACAGTAAACCCTTGTTATTCACGGGTTTGCGATTTCAACTATTAGCGGTAAGCAGATGGTGGCTAGCTTACGAGCCTGCCCGTAGCGCAATGAGTCACCCCCATGCACCCGCAGTGTCTCCTCTCCCTTTGTTTGAGCTCAACGATTGCCTGCAACGCAGCATCTCTTGTGTTGTACTGAAAACTTTAGTGTTTTTGTGTGAAATGGCCCCTAAAAGACTGCCTAGTGTCAGTGCTAGTGAAGTGAAACATTTAGAGACCTCAAAGCCAAGAGGAAACAACTACCAATCAGGATGTTTTCAAGAAAGAACCAGCCACTCGCCCAGCTGATTTGTCTCCCTCACTTGCTCGATCAGCTGCTGCTGCCGCCGCTCCACCACCCACCTCCACACCACGAGCCTCTCCACCACCCACCTCCACACCACACGCCTCTCCACCACCCACCTTCCTACCACACGACCCACCACCACCCACCTCTCCACCAACCACCATTGCATCACCCTCTTCCAACAGTGATCCTGATGTTCTCCTTATGCTTCAGTAACCAATTTCATTCAACTGTACAGTATACTTCATCAAGCTCCAAACTTCCACATACGAAGGAGAGTAGTACTGGTGACTTAAGATTCTCATACACTGTACATAGGTATACAGTAGTGCACTAAGGTAGTATGGCGACCTGTGGTGTAATGGTCAGCATGCTCGCCTCGCAAGCAAGTGGACTCGGGTTCGATCCCCGGGCAGGGTGAAACTATGGACAAGTTTCTTTATGCCATTTGCCCCTGTCTACCCAGCAGTAATTGGGGACCTGGATGTTAATCGATTTGCAGATCGTGTTCAGGGGTAATGGTTAGCCAGTGCAGTTGGCTAACCATGGAACATACAAGATGAACTACTCAATAGGCCTGATCCATCACACATTTCCCCGACGCTGGGTTAGAAATCTCCAAGAAACGGTAAATATTTTTAACTGGATACTGTGGTTGGTAAAGTGGTGGACTAAACAAAATGTTGGTTGGCATTAAGGTCACTTGGCCTTACCATGCCTGAATGCAACTGGAATACCAAAGCTGTGCCCATCTCCTGGTTTCTTGCTGTATTTTCTGGGCTAACACCCTGGGTTTTGCAACTCGAGTGTGAAAAATGACCATAAACTATTTACGACGATGAAGATTCAAAACTGTAGTCGGTAAACACATGGTTGGCAAAGGATTACTGTACTAAGGTAACTAATTCTGCTGCTTTTCATGAGGAATCATAAACTGTCTTCTGAAAACCATCCACACGTAATTTCAGTGGAAATACAAAAGATAGGGAAGCATAAGACTCTGAACAAGATGATCCTGAGACTGACAAGGTGTCACTTATGTCAAAGGTTGGAACATTGGAGGGTGAGTTGTATTCCCTTGGAAAGATAAAGAATATGTTCCCTGCAATATCAAATGGAACTACAATACTGTACCGTATGTTTGAAAAACTCAGTGATGGAGAAATGGTCCATATATTGTGTCCAAACTACACAGGAGACCACAAGATATTGTGCAAGAAATGTCCAGCATGACTAAAGACCAAGCTGGACAAGGAATGGGAAACAAGTTAGCATGAAGACGACTTGGACAAAAACATACAGTATAGCTGGAACTGTAGAGGAAAATAGGTACTGTACTATGTAAGGTGGTGCAAGACAGGGAAAAGTCTACCGGTACTTTAATTAAAATGTGTATCTAGTGTCAAAATTTTTCAACCTGGAAAAATTCAGTCACCAAGTATTGTTGGATTTTAACTGCAACAATGAAAAAATTGTGTGATCTGTGTATTCTGAAAAGATACCTGTATAATAGATGATTTCCTTATGTATGAAATTATAGACAAGGATGCAAAATAACAGAATATAAAAACAAAAATTCTTGACTTACCATATAACTCATCTGGTGGATGTCTTCTCCATGCAGAATTCCATTATAACAACACACAGTACAGGTAATGGTCTGGGAATTGCTTCTCTCCTCACTTTTCTGAACCGTGAGATGTAGAAGTTCTGTTCTCCAAGTCTGATAAAGGTCTACTGAAGATGCTGCTTATACATCCACTCTTAGACCTAAAACAAAGCATGAGAACTATACGCATTGAAAAATTATGGCAGGAAATGAGCGTCAATATTGACATTGGCAGTTGCAGTCACCTGTATCAACAACGATGGAAGTTGGCAACAGTATGAGAATTAATGAGTAAGGTCTCATTTTGTAGGAATCTTGCTGCAGATTATGAGTGTGATGATGTAAAAGGAAAAGATGACCACAGGTGCAACAATAAATATAAATAATTGAAAGTATAAAACTATGACTGTTGATGATCGGCTGCTTGTGAAAAGGTGTGGGAGAGCTGTTGGTGAGGAAAATTAGTGTTCTACCAGGCCTACCCAAGACATGGCTGCATTTCATAATTTGAACGCGCAAGCTTAGATAAGCATTTTGTTGGTTAAATCGCCTATAGCCCAAAACATGTTGAAAATAACCTTAATCTTGTCCATGCCTACATTGCTGAAGTGGCCACAAGCACACACACAGGCCCACAATATGGGCAGCAGTAAGCTGTTTAGTATCGCAACAAATGTATGCCTCACCTCTGTTCCTTTTTCTCTTTGCTGTCTCACCAAACCAGCTCTCCACATTCCTCTTTAGTGAATATCCAGACACCACTGACTGACTATCACTATCTGAGGAAGTAACTATTCAAGAATATTGAGTCCAAAGGATAGCAAAAGTAGTAGCACAGAAGATACTGTAAACATTAAACCACATGGCAGGGGGTTCACACTGGATGCTCATTGTTTGCCAGGAGAAGCAAAATATTTCACAACCTGGACCAAACAAGATCTCCAGTGAATACAATAAATACTATGAAGAATTCAGAAGTACAGTATCTACACTTTCAACTCTTCATTCCTCAATAACTGTTGACTCATACCACAAGAGAAGTTTCTGCCAGCCGAGACCACAAACTCAGGTAACTTCTGTTGAGAAAGTTACATCACATGTTTGAAAGTATGAACTATTTGTACTTCTTATAATCCATGTTCCTGATGTTGTTCTTACTCCAAGAGTCCATCAGTAATACAATACATAATTACTAGAGTTCTTCCAATACCCATACAGTATTGTACTGCGAACAGTTTGTAACAGATAATGCTATACAGTTTGATGCATTATTTCAGGTATTAATAATGAGACATTTATTAACTTTATTTTATTCCAAGGTAGACAATTAGAATAGTCTGTAGTTTTAATATGCTGATGACTAAGAAGAGAAAGTTTATATCTAGGGGACGTCCACAAACCCATGCATCATATACATACTGTACTACCACAGCAAGTTACTGGAAGCCCGAGCCCAACACTTTCTCCTTTATTAACCTGTATCTAAATTAGGTACGATGATGCTAATCCACATACAAGAATAATCACGGCTAATGTAAATATGATAATGCATAAGAGTTTTCAGGTTTCATATTAAAGATATTACTGAGAAGTGTTAATAGTAGTTTTTTGATGTATGGACATGATAAACTGTGTACTGTACAGTATTCTAAGGCAGTGAGAAGTTAGGGTGTATAAATGTTTATCTGATTATAAATTACAGTACAGTGTCTGTAAAATATAATCACACACACTAATTCCTCACCATCCCAGAATCCTTTCAACTGTTTATGTCATTCAAAAATACAATACGTATGATCACACACACACACTCACTCCTTAATATTTGAGGATCCTTTCAACTATTTACATTATTAAAATAATACAATTATTCATTAAAAATCCACTTTATAATACCTTCCCTTAAATATGACATTGTCAAGTAGTTCATTCATCACCTGTTCTTCTATTCAAAATTTGTTAAAATAAAAACATACATGTCCCTGACTCTACCAATACCAGGGTGACTCCCAGTAAACCAGCGGTAGTACATTATCAATATGTATCACGGGAATATTTTCTAAAGCCGATTTGACTAGCTAAGTTTGTTCGAGTCCCAAAGACCACTACAAGGGGAAGTTGAGAAAACAATAACAACTGGATAATTCGGGTTCTGACTGTATGATAAATGACGATAATTATAACTCGTTATGAATCAAAATTAATGGTGTTATCTGGATAGCTGCTAAAGTCTTGTTATGAAACAAAAACACATCTGGTGAGTAAGGAAACCAGACAGAACAATGACAGTGAATGAGAGGGTGGGGGGTGTTGCTAGTAATCTGACCCAACCTGAGATGGAGCGGGAAAGAGATTGTATGAATGAAAATGAAATGAAATTAATAAAAACAAGACCAATCAGCATCTATAACCACACACGGATGCCCAACAAAATCTCTACCTGACGGTGAGTGTGTACAATGCAGTACTGCATACCATAACCCAAGTGTTGCGTCCATCTGGCTTTTGCAATACTTTCTACCCACACCAAAACTCCAACACAAAACTGTAATTCTACTATAAATGTTTTTTGTTCACATGCAGATGAATCCAACCCCCATCAAATTAGTTTCAAATACAGTTAACTCAGACAACACAAACACAGTTCAGTATTATGAGAACAACTTTTCTCATCTTGGTTAAGACTTTGTTAAGAAGTATTCTTGTAACAGCTATGTACAGTGGTCCCTCGGTTAACGAGATTTCGGTTAACGAGTTACCTTCCATAAGATTCTTAACTTCGGTTAACGAGCAATCCCTCGATTAACGAGTTTCTTACGAGCCGACCTCCACATGTTTTAGGTTGCATTTGGCGGTACACCAGCTGTAGTATTAGTCCGCCAATACAGTAATCGGTTCTAGGGCTCAAATTCCTTACCCTTTTAGTAAATATCAGGAAGTTTATACTATTCAATAATTTTAAAAGTTTAATATTAATTTTTTTAGTTATTTAAACAATTATTGAACATAATTGAAGGTAGGGTCACTAGTTTGTGGCACGCCATCCAGCCTGCCAACACAGCATACAGGCGTCAGTGTTTGTGTCTTTTCGGTGGAGGTAACATCTTGCTTGAGACTCTCTTCAACTAAATGCTTTTTTTCTGTGTTTTCAAGCAAATTATTGGTCATTTTGAAATTTATTTTACATATTGACTATATATAATGCAGTGCAGTGTTGATTTAAAGAAAATAATCTTGAATTACACCAAGAGAACTAAAATTTTATGGGTGAAATGGCACCATGGGGTGACTTCTCTTCCTTCTCCTCCACCCCCATTCTAATTCCCATCATCATCATCCACAAGCCTTCTACATACACACCTCAAAGTAAGTGTACTTTTCTACCTTTTTTGTTGAATTTAGGTAATTTTCGGTGAGCTGGAACCAATTACCCAAAAACCCATTGAAACAATGGTTTCGGTTAACGAGCAACCTTCTAGAACGGATTGTGCTCGTTAACCGAGGGACCACTGTATCTGTTTCTTTCCTGTAAAATGCACAGTAAACACACACACAGTCTCAATCATGGTCCATAAGTGATGAACAGTCTCCTTAACAAAAACATAAATGTATCATGTATAAAAATAAATAAACAAACAATACAATAAATAATAAATAACTAATTAATACCTGTATACAAATTTTCCAAAAACTTTCTCAAAGACTAAATCATCCAAATTTGGGGGGACATAAATTCATTGCAGCAATATTCATACTACCTGTTTTCCTGATAAAACTTACTCATAGATATATGCGGTGAAGGTGAATTTTTGTACCAAGAACATTGTAAAATTATGAACGCAACAGCTACCTTCAACAGCAGACACAATTTGTGCAAGTGGATGAGATCTGCCTTATAGAGAAAACAAACTACAGTAAACAAATAAAAACAAGACATAACTGATGACTTATCTGGCTTGGGAGCTTAACCTGACTAAAAGATCTCTGAATAGATCGTGCAAATGAATACGACTTTATACTGTACGATGAGTACTTCCAGAAATGTTCCTGGCCAAAGGTTCCATTTAACACACTGTATGGTGGCCCCTTCTGGTGAAGGCAAGTACGGCAACAATGTCTATCATAAGTCATCTGGGATTGGAGTCTTACAGTTACCGTGGAGAATCTTAAACTCTTCCGTACAGTTAAAGTATTGGTCGAACACGGTGCGGTAGCCATGGTCTCTCCACCAGGTACACAGCTGACGGTTCCAGCCGCAGGGGATGGTGTAGAACAACTCGGGGTGGTCCAGCGCTATCATTGTGTACAGGTCCTGATCTCCCAAATGGCCTTGAAAACTGTAGTAGGTTGTCTTTTCTCTCAGTTTTGACTTTGATAGATATTTTCCTGCCAAGTAAAAATTAATTTCCTTTAATATTTCTGGCCAATTTCGTGTCATAGCTGTTGAATAATTGACTTATACAACACAAACAGTAAACAACTAGAAGCTTGAGTGATGGGGCAAGATCATGAGGTTGTCTTTGGGAAATGGTATTAAGGATGCAATGGAAGCTAACGTCTACTTACTAATAATATCAGATTTTCGTAGTTTGTTGATGTCAACGAGGACGACACCACTGTTGAATCCAGGAAATCCTCCCTGTGTAGGGGGGCTGCCAAAAGTGGTGTTGGGGTGTTTCTTGCGGTAGGCAGACAACACGTGACGGTACACAGATGACTGCTCCAGTGTCATGCCAATCACGTTGCTGGGACTGAACCTTTCAAAGTGGGAATGAAGCTCTGCTATGTCACCTTTGACCTGCAAGATTAGGATACCTGTACCATTTTTGTTTTTGGTCAGAAATAGTGAGACAATGTAATGATGGCTTGAAGGAATGTTACCTAATTGGGGGGATTGACAGGTTATACAAGGAGGGAAGAGATGCTCAGGAACCCTGTTATAGTTGTGTGCTGAATAAGATTTGACCCCAAATACAGTACAGTAGTTCTAAAAAGATTAAATAAAGTAAACCCTGAAATGACTTGAGACTTGAACTTAAGACTTGAAGTGTGGAGGAGTTGGGTGGAGGCCACAGTGTAGCCAACTCGAGGGAAACATGGCTGTGTACTCTACTACCTGTACCAGCAATGACAAGGGTGTCAGTTTACCCCCATACATCATATTATTATCATTATTTTAAGAAAACTGAACAGCACAAAAAAACTGTTCAAAGAATGTACAGGTATTGGTTTATAAGGTATTGGTAACATCTAATAATCTAACAATGTTATGAGTAAAGTACAGTACAGGACCTGGCTGGAGATCTCAGGTTAGGGGACTAAGAGCTTCATGTTGTCTGAAGTATCAACTTACTGTACCTTAATATCAATATCCATGAGGATGACACGATCAAGTCCTTGAAGAAGTTTATGCAAATGAAGCGAGAAGAAAAACAGGGCATCTCGATAATAGGCGTTGGTTCTTCTCGTGAAAAATTCTTGCAGTATGGTGACGGAATCTTCTATCTCCGGGATGAAGTCATCAGCCGACACATACACAAGCTGTAAGGACAAAGTTAGATTACTGTTATTATTACATCTCATTTTCTGAGTTTAATGTGTGATGTAACAGCCTCCTTAGCACATACATCATAAACTTGTTGTCAGCCAGTTATAACAGTTTTGTGAGACTTTATAGTGACAACTTTTACATTTTGTTGGAAGATATTAGGCCTACATGGTGAAATATATTTTGGTACAGCATGTCAACGAGTAATGTACTTTTGTGTGATTTTTGAACAGTCAAAATTATAACCATTTTTGGTGAAAATACTTTGTAAATTAAAAGTAATGTTTAAATGGTTCAGTCAGTTTATATTAAATTTATTTATTAGGTGAGCTTTATTTAATCTAACCTAACCACCCTAACTTAATTTACAGTAGGTTAAGTTAGGTTGGGTTTGTTGGTTCATTTTGTTGCATTGACTTTAATACCAAACTGACATATTAAAAAGTAATTTTTATTTATCAAATTTTGACACGTAATTCAGAATGTGACGAACAACTTTTTATCTTATAATACAAGCTTCTGGACGCTGTACAGGTTTTCTTTTATAAGGTGAGATATTAGACAATAAACAAAAACATTAAAGAATGTTTCTAATGTTAACCAAAACATACGAGACAACATACGATAACAACTGAAAACCCCAATGGAAATTAAACTTTTCAGCGGGTTTCTTGGCCTATCCTTGGTTTGGCAAAGGTTTACGAAACTGCTATCACCAGAAAGAAATGTGCGATTTGGTTTAAATTTTTTGTACTCACTATTAGCATGATATTGAACACAGAAATGGAAACGACTAGTAGAACCTGACCTAACAAACCCAACCTATTAGGTCAGGTTCTAGTAGGATCTATGCATTATCGTGTTCATTTGTGTTCAATAGTATGCTAATAGTGTGTACAAAAAATTTAAACCAAATTGCACAGATCCCAACCAAACTAACCCAATAACTCAACGAAAATAAGCAAAATAACCTAGGAAACCCGACCTAACGATTGTCACGAACGGCAATGGCGGCGGAACGGGAATTGTGAAGCCGGACTAACTTACGGTAAGAAAATGTTTGTGCCATTTGAAATGCATCCGAGACGTAACTTTAATACCATAACGTCAGTGTTCGCCATGTTTTTACCCCATAATTTCCCTAATCTTTCATGCCCTACCCAAATAACAAGGAATTTAAGATCGTAGGATAGAGTAATTGAAAAAAATCCTAAAAAATACTAAAAATTATAATAGAAAGTTGTCATTTATTTTATTATACTTAAAATCATCAAAACAACAAGTAAAGCAAAAATAACAAAAATCAACAAACAACTTTTAGTGACAGCGGTTTCATAAGCCTTTACCCTCGGTCTATACACCTACACTGTCTACGCACACCACGAAATAATGCGAAAGCGCGAGACAATTTTACCGAATAACATAAATATCAACGTACAGTAACCAGGAAGCGTTAAACTCGACATAGGGATCGGAACTCACCTTAACATATCTCGAGTCTAACTGATTGGTCTCCTGAGCTTGTCTGATTATCTGTGAGGCAATATGGAAGCCGTCCTGATCAGTAATGAGATGTAACCTGAGGGGGGCGGAGGAGGCAGCCAGTAGGGTACTCACAGCCACCCTTAACTTGTTCTGTAGGGGGTAACTGTCTCTGGCGTGAGTGAAGATGAAGGCCACCTCTAGGGGCGGTCGGTACAGTAAATCATTTTCTCTGGGGTCGAGTGGGACCACCTCCTGCTCGGGGAGGATCTGCTGTTCTGTGTTGACGCTATCATCCTCATCCTCGGGGGAGAGGTGAAGTGATGAAGGAGGATGAGGTTGTGGAGGAGGTTGAAGGTGTGGTGATGGGACAACCACCACTAAGGGCTTCACCTCACGCCATCCCGATAAAAGTATTAAACACACCACCACAAGTAACAGAATAGTTGCCTGCCCCAAGAACCTCACTCTAAACAACATGTCAGACACATACACTGACTTGATGCCTTCCTCACCTCACACCTCACCTCCCCTGTGCCTCACCACCACCACCACCAAGACTGGACAAGTGTTACTTTGCCCTCCCGTCCTCCACCAGTACTCCTCCAACACCAACACTAAGACTGGACAAGTGTTGGTCTGCCTCTCTGCCCTCCCGTCCTCCACCAGTACTCCTCCAACACCAACACTAAGACTGAACAAGTGTTACTCTGCCCTCCCGTCCTCCACCAGTACTCCTCCACCACATTTTAGTGGATTTATAACTTCACACATCCTTATATAATCTCATCGTAATTTTTAAATATCATATATACAATCCATTTATCTGAATATTTTCATTGAATTATATAATTACTACAGTTCAATTGTTTTATGTGATGATTAAGTAAATTTATATTTTCTTTGTGAATTTAAAACTCCGTGTAAATGTGACTGTGTTGGCGTCATACAGACACGTGTATATTTGTTTATCTTTGTTTATATTCTCCTGTTTTACACTTATATTCGATGATTTAATCCCTTTTCTTGTTTCTAAAATATATTAATAAAATATGTAATGCGTTTATATTTTTGTAGAGTGAGTTAGGGCGGAGACAGAGATAGAAGATAAAGAAAACAACTTCACCTGACCACAGGACCACCAGGTTTTAATGGCTTCCGGGCTAATGGCATTGAGTGTACAGTATACCTTATACCTAAACTGTCTCTTTTTCATTGTTTGTTAACATTATTTAACTAAGAAGCTAGTTTTTAATCTAGTTTCTCATATGCTGCTCTGTGCTCTTCAAATCCACCAAAAAGATTTTTCACTTATAATTGGGCAAATTTTAATTGTTTCTCATATTTTTTAAGTTGGTCATAATCTCACAGGTTTATTTTAAATATAGTACAGTATGTTGTAATTAAACTTGTAGATTTCTGTTTTGTATTTATAATATATAATTGGAGTCACAAAGAACTTCAACTCATTGATGTCCAAGTCTATGACAAACTGTTTTTACATTATGAAAAACCATTATGGCTCTACACTGTTAACATTTTCAATGTCTTTATTTTTCTTTAATTTATTCAAAATCTCATCAGAGGTAATTTTTATATATCCTGATTCAGGTTTTTAAATGAAAAACACTCAGTATAGCTCAATTCTATTTCTCTCCCTTTGTTGGTTCCTCTGTTAGAGAACTCATATCTGATGACACCCCAGACAGATATTTCATGTCCTGAGCAATAAACTTTGCAGCCATATCTGACGACACCTCTACTGCTGACAGATCATCGGTGCCAATCTCCTCTTCTGTCCTGCAATTCACAAAAATACTCATAACGATGACCAGGAACAAGAGTATGTGACTGGAAGAATTAAAGCACCTTACTGTACTGTACTGGTAAGAAGCAAGTGGTGGCCTTGGTTGAATCACCTTACTGTTTATTATTGTATAACTGAAAACACAACTTCCCCTGACCTCATACAGGTCCACAAAAAGCCTTGAATGGTTTCCTGAATTAATGTTATGACATTGTGTGAATACATAATGCTTAAATTGTCTCTGTTCATTATTTGTCTACATGTTATACACAGTATATCTTTACATTGTTTAACTAAGAGGCCAGGATCACCCGAAGAATCTCCACCCAAGCTTAATAATATCACCTACTTATATCAAACTATAAGGCAGGTGCTGTGGCAGTGTTAGGTGGAGACTAATGGTACAAGCAGACATACTAAGTCATATTCACATATACAGGTAAAGATAATGTACAGCATAAAACCTCACCTAAGCAGGAGGTTGACTACATCCTCATTGAGCATGACACAGTGTTGATCCTCCTCCCACTTGTGGTGTTCTCGTAGTATGAGGTATATGTTCTGACTCCTCATAATCTCTCTGCTGGCGCGTGTGATGCACAACTGTGTGGAACAATGAACAGTAAGTACAGTAACTTATTTTTATTTTACATTGTTTTTCACTAAACTGATTCATAATGATTTACAAAATGTTCTTCTATGAATAAATATTTAGTGTATTGAACAGTTATACAATCTCTCACATACAGGTTGACTCCAGTAAGACCTTCATACAGTATGATTTCAACATAATTCTGTAGATTCCTCATTCAATATAGCAACTTTTCTCCCGGTAGATACCAGTAATCCCCTACAATGAGCACAGATGTGAACTCATCATCAGCAGAACCAAAAAAACTAAACTGATGCTGAGATACAGTAAATTGTATTTACACTTAGACCTTCCCAGTAGCATCAGAGACTCATCCCTCATTCATTCTTTCAAACTACCTAATCAGTTGTGTTTTGCCATGTAACAGAGTAAACAATATATAAATAATGTGGCAGCTCAGAGGAACAAAAGTTTACCTGCATCAGAGCCTCAAGTAGTAGCTTGCGGACCTCAGGATCTGGTTCTCTCTCCTTGTCATCGGGGAGGAACTGTAGGTCGATGGGGAGGGACTCATTGTCCTCTTCACTAAATGTGTCAGGCCCAGCAAGTGGTAACAGGAGTCGAGGCACAAGATCCACGTCCTCACCCATCAACCATGGATGATATTCTGTGGCATTAACAGACACAAAAATATTAAGATAATCTGAAGTGGCAGTTAAATTTATGTATACCTGAAGGGGTGAATGAAGATAGCAGGCTCAGTGATCCTTCAAACTGGGGGAAAAAATTAAGATTTAAGTAATGTTAAAGTCTTGATTCACTTTGCCTCTACTTACAGGATACTATATCAACAAGTATGACACAATGGGAAAAATAATTATCTTTTAAAATTCCACTAATGTAGACTGCTCAGTGCCCTATGTACAGTATTCTTCTATTGAGAGATTTTAACGTAATAAATATCTCACCTTTCTCAAAACAGCAGTTGTGGATAGTAGCTATGACTGACATCCTCCTTCCCTTCGATTCCTTATAATCCATGAAGGTTATGAGCCGTTGAAACACAAACTCATCCTTGACCATTATCTGTCTGGGGTGTTGAAGAAAGATATTACTTACACCACAGCCGTCATAAATGTCTTAATTGCAGTGACACATTGAATCTCATATGGAGTAAAGTGGTGAGTGGACGCCTCAAAGATGATAAACCATCATTCTTACAGTATGGACACAATAAGACTATATGTTCATGGGTGTTATGGCAAAACCGAAATGCCTAAATTAGTCATATGCTCTGGTTCCCTAAGAATACAAGCTAAGTCCTTATCTATATAATCTCCTCCAAGCACTTCACTCACTAGACAGGTCAACAACAGTGACACTGTATTACCTCCTTCCATCAGCCAGCTGTGAAAAATTGGTGATGACTGGTGCCAAGAGGTGAAGCTTGGCGCCCTTCTTGTTATAGTTGATCTGACACAGTATGTACACAAGACCCTCCAGCTTGATGGGTCCCTCACTGATGCGATCAAACACCTGCTGGCACAAATGCTTTGGCTTGGACAAGTTGGCCAAGATGCCACAAGCAAAGTCTGCATGTGGGTAATTTGGGTCCTCAATACACTGGAAAACAATAATGCCTACAACAATCACTGATCTAAAGAATTTTTACTTTATAAATATAATACTGGGGTGATAAATCAATTGACTAGGTTATCCAGATGTCTACTCTGGTGACAAGAGAAAGCTGAAGTATCAAATATAGAAATAATCTTCTGTGATGGTCAAATTTTACCATCTTACCTTGACCATTTCTGATACTACATCAACATCTTTCACGGCCAGAAGAGCTGCTGCACCTGACTCTTCTGCTGAGATGTTGACCAGTGCCCTCATGGCATCTTTGCCTGTATAAATTTCAGAGTCTCTGATCAGACGCATAATTGCCACGAGAGCATCTGGGCGAGAGGACAGGAGGCTTAGACCCTCTGGTGTTCCTGTTAGTTCTGTAAAAGTTAATAATGTATAACACATAAAATCTCCATGTGACCAAAATGTATCTCCTTAAAATACAGTAATACCTCATTTGTTAATTGTCTGGTGATACTCAGTGACCAAAATAACTTTCAACAACTTAATGTAAAAATTTCAACAGTTTGTGATCACTTACGGGCAGCCGTCATACATGCTGCACTCTTGGTGTCCCTTCGTCCCTCAGGAGCCAGGAACTGAATCAGCTCATTGATCTGGTCTGCCTTGGTCATGTTTCAACTTCAAAAGGCCACAACCTAAAAAGATAATTCCCCATTAAATACACAAGATAGTTATCATCACAAAACCATAATTCTCCGAAAATAAAATCATCACAGAGTCCCCCAAGTATGTTTTTGTAAATAATGATCAAATTCTATCTATATAACACATAATTACAGGATTTATAGGTATCACTGTTCAACACATGACAGTACACTATGGAGAGCAGACTAATAATGGTGGTAGCTACAGCTGTGAGTTCCATTAACCACACATTGATTCTTCCTCTTTCAAAGGTTTCATCTAACTGTTAACTTGGTAATTATTATATAAAACACTGGTGGTGGATCGTGCCTTTGATCAAATGGTCAATGAGCCGCCTTCTTGATGTCAGAGAACACTTCTGGTTTTTGCTTCTTTCCTATAGTTTCTGTTATGAATTAAATACTTCACTTAACATAAAACTATGCCACATGTTTAAGTAGAAGAGGCTGTGTCTCCCTACCGTCAATTAAACTGGATAATTTTTAAACAGCAGTCGACTCTCACATGTGTTTGTTTACATCAGCTGACCTAAGATGTGATGATCAATCCTGAAATACTACCACGAACACGGCTATTATTTCATTTATTCAAAGTAGAAATAAACTTTGTGTAAATCAATCCAAACTAAATATTACAGTATTATTGTATTTTTAATATAATTTGGGTAAATTTACATCCCCTAGAAAAAGTGATGTATAGTAGTTATGTTCGTGGTATTATTTTTAACTTTGGCTATTTTGCTTCAACATGGGAATTCCCCTGAAGATGTCTCAACCCCCCCCCCCCACCAGGTCACCTACAGTGGTCACTATTCTCCTTCCTTCTCTCCCTCTCCTTCCTTCTCTCCCTCTCCTTCCTTCTCTCCCTCTCCTTCCTTCTCTCCCTCCTTCAAGGTTTCGTAAGTAAAAATAATAACCCACGATTGTGTTTTTAAAGTTTGTATTTTGGATCACCTGAAGATTAGACACCCAAGTTATTTCACCATCCTAACGCAAACCTTATCTAACCTAATTTAATTAAATGCTAACCTTACTTGACCTTACCAAACTTAACTTGACCTCGTTTGACCACAGCGTTAGGGTGGTTAATCTTGAGGTGAAATATGCTGGGTGGAGATTCTTCAGGTGTTTTCTTATTTCACCTGAAGATTAAACACCAAGTTAGATAATGTTCATAATAATGTTAGGGAAATAATGAAGTAAAATAACAGAATTAGTTACCTAGAATTATAAATGTATATAACAAGTTTTAGACACGCTATATAAAAAAAATAAAATTATAATTATCTTATTAGTGATTTTAATAATTTTAGAGATTTAATGGGGTAAAAATGGTAGAGTTAATAGAGGGAAATATTTACCAGTGAGTTAATTCTTGTGTCTGTCTCCCTCCGTAAACAAACATGGCCGCCCAAACAGATCACTGGCTGAGAGTATTCCAAGTGGAGGAGACCAGACGACACACCAAAGGCTATACCATTTATAAAGTGAAATCTAGTGTGAGTTATCATTGTTTAGTTACTTGGGAGTTGATTAGTGGTGTAATGGCGGTGAGGGAGGGAAGAGAGGATGTGGGAGGGAGGGAACTAGGTGAGGGAGGGAAGAGAGGATGTGGGAGGGAACGGGGTTGAGGGAGGGAACTAGGGTGAGGGAGGGAACTAGGTGGTGAGGGAGGTAACAAGGGTGAGGATGGGAACAGAGGGTGTGGAAGGGAGACAGTAGGAGGGTGAGGGAGGCAGCAGGGGGGGGTGAGAAGCAGAGGGGAGGAGACAGTAGGAGGGTGAGGGAAGGAGACAGTAGGGTGGGGAGACAGGGTGGGGGAGGAGGAGGAGACAGTGGGAGGTAGGAGGCAGTGGGGGGGGGGCAACAGAGGGGTGAGGGAGACAGTAGGAGGTGAGGACAGTAGGAGGTGGGAGGCAGCAGGGGGGTGAGGCAGCAGGGTGAGTTAGCGAGGCAGTAGAGAGGTAGTGAGGGGGGGGGCGAGGGAAGGAGGCAGTGAGGGGTAGGTGCAAGGTGAAAGTGCTCTAGTAACCTTCACCTTTTGTTTCATCAGACTTAACTGAATCATTAGACACAAGATGAAATTACTGTATGCTGAACTGAATGAAAGTTTAAATATTGAGAGTTCTTTTTATTTCCTCGGTTATTATTATTATTATTATTATTATTATTATTATTATTATTATATTTTTTGATGGGTAAAAATTGCTAAAAGTTAAGAGCATGTTTGGTGTTGGAAGAGTTAAAAAGTATTATGGTGTCTCCAAAAGTATCACAGCTTATTGGGCTCTCTTGTTGAATTACTGTTCTCTGATGTATGTAAGTCAAAATAATGCATTTGGATGGAGAGGGAGAAGTGGATTGTGTTTCAGTACTGCTATGTTCTTAATTATTACTGTAGTGGTTTTGATGTGTTGTTTAGTCTTTCACACTTGGTAATGTCTGGGGTGGGGTTTTTTTTGAGGGGGGGAGGGGAGGGGGTAGTAGTTGGTGACAGTATCATGCTTTAACCTGGAGCTTTAAGATATTTTTCAAACCTCAAAAAGATCCCATAAAACGATAAGGATTTATGATTTGCATAGTTTTATTTTTCCACTTTTTTTTCCTTTTTGTGCACCAATTATGTTGATGCACTACAATGCATTAATTATGTGCAAGAGATATTGCTCTACACACACATACATAATAAACCAGCAAGTTTGGAACACTTTAAATATAAGATTATAACTTTCTTACTAAATTCCATAATATTATTTGGCAATTTTAAGAGAACACATTTTTCCTGAACTGACCTCAATTGTGGCAATTTTCTCCTGACAGTGTTTCATCTACAGAGGAACATCTTACAAGCTAGTGCTACTTTATATGATCTAACCTAATTTAACCTAACCTAACCTATCAAACTTAGATTAACATTCAGGATGAAAAACATCATCAAAATAATACCGGTACAGTATTTAGCAAATTGTAAATCTCCTTCAGTTTATGGGATTTTTTTTAAGTAAACATTTATCCTTTACAGAAAAATCTACTCAAATTCCTGGTGAACGTGCTGTACTGTCTTCCAGTATTAACCAACATGTTTTAATTATTACTCAGGGGTTCATTCTTCCTAAAATCAAGCATAAGTCAGTGAAATTGTTTGTAAATCCACTAAAGATGTTACTTAAGCAAATTCAATGTTAATTTTTCTTGGTATTGTTTGTATTTAATCGAACACTTAGAAAAGACCAAATTGTTAAGTGTGCAGACCTGAGAGGTACGGTACCTTCACCATGTTTTCTACAAGTGACGATAAACATAGATATCAATACAGTACAGGAACAAGGGGAATGCCTCATTCTTGACGTTTCTCCAGGTATGTCCCCGAAACAGTCCAGAGGCTTCAACGTCAGTAGTGGTCTGGCGGCGATACTCAGAAGTACGTCGGTTACACAAGGCCATATCTGAGCTCCACCAGAGGCTCGGTCTTCCAGGACAGTTACCGCCCTTCCCTCGTGCCACCGTCCTCAACAGGTGTGTGTGTGTGTGTGTATTTTCTTGGCTCACTTGACCACACAGCAGATTATATTAGGAAATACAGAGGACCTGAAGCTTAGACACCCTAATGCTATGGGGGGGGGGGGCTTAAGTTAGGGTGGTTAGATTAGGTTAGGTTAAGTTAGGTTAGGTTAGGTTAGGTTAAGTTTGGTTAGGGTAGTTCTACAGTACAGATTGACAGTGTAATAATAGTTTGTGCTTAATTAGTGAGTTAATTAGTTGCAAGTTATAGTACAGTAATTTGCTGAACATAATTAGAATTTGTATTGTTAGTTTGTGTTAGTGGAAGATGAATGATTAGGCTGGTATTACTGTGTGGAAGAGCAAGAGAGAGTGACTGAGTGAGTGTATGTCTGGGTATACTGTACTGTATATTTTGGTGTCTGTGTGTGTTTTATCTTTCATTCTATATGTCTGTCTGTCTGTCTGTTCACCCACCCATCTGTCTGTCTGTCTGTTCATCCATCCATCTCTCTGTCTGTACATCCATTCATCTCTCTGTCTGTATATTCATCCATCTGTCTGTCTGTTCATCCACCCATCTGTCTGTCTGTTCATCCATTCATCTGTCTGTCTGTATATCCATCCATCTGTATGTCTGTTCATCCATCCATCTGTATATCTGTCCATCCATCCATCCATCTGTCTGTCTGTTACATGGATCTAAATGTGAGACATTTATTATTCATGCTTCATCTCTTTCATTTACAAGTTTATTCATACATTTCTCCTCTTTAGATTTGAAGCAGATGTTGTGGAGACAAGGAGACAAGCTACACTCGACCTCTTGAAGTTCATAGGTCAACACAGTCCACTCTTCACCTCTGACCCATTCACCAAGTTTTTTCAGGTACGTGCATAAGTGGCAAGAATACCGCCCTATGTGGAGGGTCAGTCAGTTAGTGTGTCGGTGTGTGTGTACAGTGGTGAAGGAAGGAAACTGTAGTGTGGGATTTCATTGCCAAACTGTACTTGATATGCTATAGTATAACTGCTGCCTTCATACCATGGTTTGTGTTTGTGTTATTGTTGTATTTGGTCTTATTATGTGTGTTAAATAGACCTCTCGGGGGCTTTGTTTATTTTGTATACTTTTGCCATACACACACACACACATACATAAACATGCACACACACGTACACATACATACACACACACACACACACACACACACACACACACACACACACACACACACACACACACACACACACACACACACAAAATAAATAAAGCTTTTTTTTAGAATATCAGATCAGTTTTTGATAAGATTCAAATGAATGATATTTTGAGAAATTTGACCACTTACCATATTTTGTGACATATATGTGTTTTAAATGGATCCACTACAAACCACCATTGACAAAATTTTGTTTCATCTTGCTTCTCCAGACAAATTTGGAAATCAGAGTATTAAGCCAAGTGTGAATCAGAAGATAATCCTCCCAGTGACTTGAGGAGTGATGATGATGGTAATGTAGAAGAAGTGTCTAAAGAGTTTCATTCTGGAAACCATCGTCATCCTTTTCACCTCGCTGTCTTGTCTCTTGGGTAATTTCACCCTTCATAGTTGGACCTCTGAGTGCTGTAATAGTCTTGTGTGTGTATGTGTTAGGGTGTTTGTTTGTGTGTGGGTGGGTGTTTTATGATATATGCTATTTCACTATTTCATGATGAAGATTTTGTTTACACCTCACTGCTTTATCTCTGTTGGGTGGAGAGGGAAGGGGAGGAGGGATGGTGAAGCCACAATTTTAAGTGTTCAATAATTTTTTTTTTTGCCTTGTTTTCTTCTAACTCTATACTTCTAAGATTTCCCAGATAGTTTGTCCGTGTTGGTTATGTGTCGGCTCTTGCACTCACGCACACAGACACACACATGCACATGCTGTTCTGTTTTTGCTCACGTTTGTTCTGGTCACTTCATCGCCATCATCACCACCACCAACCATCATCATTACCTCCACCAGAATCACCATCCTCATCTTCAGTCATCATCATCATCAACCACCACCACCACCACCTAATCAGTGTTATCATATATATGTTAACCCTTGGTATATTATGTAAGATAACATCCCAAGTGACCCAAATCATCACCATGTGTGTTTTGTTCCCCAGAATGAAGATAATGGCAGCAAACATTCTTCACTTAACAAGATACGGAAGAACTCCAGGGGAAGGTAAGAGAGTTAATGTTTTGTAAAAGGGATCACACGAAGAATAGCCACCCTCCCCATCTAGCTTATTTCACCTGATGATTAAATACCCTAACAGTACCTGGGGGGGGGGGGTGTTAGAGTGTAAACAGTAAGCTGATTCTAGGTAATAGTGAGAGAGAATTATATATGAGAGATAGATGTGAAGTGTTAGTAAGGTGCTGTACCTGTGATGATCTAAAAATGTCTCTCCCTCCAGGTCAAAGGAAGCTGATTCTCTGGCCTCAACACTTGGGATACAGGAGTCCTCGTCTCTGTACTCTCAGTTGAGCGACACCGAGGATGACTTCAGTGTTTGCTCCAGCCTCGACTCCCCACCAGCCGTTGACGCCTTGTGTGCCACCCCGACTTACCCGACCGCCTCCGTTGCTCCCTCTGCCGTAGCATCAGCGTCCACTGCTGTCGCCATAACCGATGGTTCGTGTGAAGGCAAAGACACACTGACGACTGCTTGCCAGAACCATACTGGGGTGTCAGGTCTTTCAGTTAGCCAAAGAACCAACTCAAAGAGATATAATTCTCAAGAAAATTTCTGGAAAGTTGTGCCAAATAGAACCATCACAGATACCGAACGAAGGGAGGAAGTTAAGTGCGATCTCGGTTGGGGTTTACCATGTGGGAAAGGCGTAGAGAACAATGTTTTTTTTTTTCATACGGGAAACTGTGATGTTAAAAAGGACAACAAGGATACTGTTCACCCATCTGAGAGGCATGAGTCCACTTCATCCTCACAGCCATGTTGCGTGTATGAGAACCCAGTGCACAATTCCCCTAAACAGCACCAAAAACCCTACCCGAGTGAAGAACCACGGCATATTCCCGACGGGGACGGCAGGTCATTGGGTCCCGTACGGGTAAAACAAACTCCACGTCCAATACCACCTCTCGAAATCTCTAGACGGATAAGCATCTCCGGTAGAAAGAACTCGGTGCCCCTGACCCCCCTAACCCCCCTGACCACCACTGTTACCCCAGTCATCTCAACACACAAGATTCCAAGCCCACAGGAGGTCGCCAACACACAGTATGTTTTTATTGCAGCTCAACAGATAAATGAGGCGCAACAGCATGAACAAAACAGGGATTATAAGCAGGCGCTGAACATGTACCGAGAAGGAGTTGGGACATTGTTACAGGGAGTACAAGGTCAGTGTAGGGTTATCAGTTGTTCTTAGTCCTCATCATTTTCCTCCTCCTCATTGTTCATCTTTAATACTTATACTGTACTGTAGTTACTCTGAATTATAACCCTAGTATGAGCAGACTATGTACGGTACGGTAGTGAATAAACAGAGGCTGGTTGACTTGACTGGTTGCATCACAAAGAGAGGATTCAGACTGTGAATTATTTGAATGACTGGAAGACTGAGCAAATATGTAACTGTGATTCCTAGACAACAAATGTAACCTAAATATTACAGGATCACTTGAATATTACTCCCCCCCCCAAGCTTATTTTGCCGGTACTCTAAGATTAACCACCCTAATACTAATCTAACCTAACCCCCAGGTAATATATAGCTGCAAGTGTCCAGAGTTTAGTCTCACAATATTGCTTGTTTACTTACGTTAACTTATGTATTTTTCGGGCAGAAGATAGGATTTAATTCTTTATCTTTTTATTTACCGGTAATTCTATTCATTAACATCGTATTGACGAGAGTTCTAACATTTATTCATGTTTTCGGGAGCATTTCTCTTATATTCATCTATATTCTACTCTTAATATTTGCAATTTTTTTTCTCCATTACTCACAATAATAACCACAAACTTGCCCCTTCAGTGATCGAGAGTAATTTAATAATAATAATAATAATTAACGGTTTATTGAAAAAGTTCTGCAGCCCGAAGGCTGAAAATATACATTGGACATAAATGACTTATTACATACATTGGTGGTTTAACAAAAGCCTTCATTAGAGAAAGGTAAAGGAACATACAGTGAACATACAGATTAATGTAGGATTGTACGTGTTGAACAGCAAATACGTAGTGTAGTAACTCCCTCCCAGATGGTGTTAGGAGGGACCTCACGTGGTGTAGTAATTCCCTCACAGATGGTGTTATTAGGGACCTGACGTGGTGTGGTAATTCCCTCACAGATGGTGTTATGAGGGAACCTGACGTGGTGTGGTAATTCCCTCACAGATGGTGTTATGAGGGACCTCACGTGGTGTAGTAATTCCCTCACAGATGGTGTTATGAGGGGCCTCACGTGGTGTAGTAATTCCTTCACAGATGGTGTTATGAGGGTCCTCACGTGGTGTAGTAATTCCCTCACAGATGGTGTGATGAGGGACTTGACGTGGTGTAGCAATTCCCTCACATATGGTGTTATGAGGGACATGTGGTGTAGTAATTCCCTCACAGATGGTGTTATATGAGTGAGGTTTGGTCCCAGGCCTTCCTATCGTAGACGGATTAACACATCGCTGGTTATCATGGGCCGTTATCACTGGGTACCTGGGACCTCACTGTGTGAAGGTTAACTTGGGTACAACTGTTACTGTTGAGTTGTTCTCACTGACTTAAGCACTGTTCACCACTGTTCACCTCTGTTTAACACTGGTTCCATTCCTTTCCGAAATGAAACTGTAACTTCTGGCGAGAACTTGTTGATATTCCGGTGGGGAGGAGGGTTCAGGGGAGGGGGTTGGTATGGGCCAACTTAACAGTTGACCTGGCTGCTCCGAGAGGAGCGCCAGGTACGTCTTGACCCTTCGGTGGTCAAGGATGTTTGATGTACGTATATTAGTTAACTATGTGGCATGGTTATGTACCCCCATTACCCTTGTTGTTGTTGTCGTATCTGCTGCACGTGACTCTGATGCTGATGAACCTCAGGTATTCTGGTCACTCTTAGAGGTCCTGTGCAGAATTGACATTGAAGCATTGTCTGTGTTGAGATAATATGTGGGAGTGGGGCACGTGGCAGTGTTCTTGTACGCATAGAATGGATTTTAGGTGTGTGGTATATTGTGGTCTTATTTGTCTAGTGAAGGTTATAATAGATATAGTCTGATTTCTTAAAAAAGATTGGTTTCTGAGATGTCAATATCAGTAGCAGTTGAGTATTATACAGCATTGTTTAGTTGTTGTGTGAGTCTTTGTGTTTGGGTAGATGTGTGGGGATAGTGGTGTGTTCTGTTGTGAAGTTACTCCGAGGAGATGTTGCAAATTCCTTTCCCCAGATTGCAAGGTGATTTTATGTCTTGACTCGGGATGGACATTGCTTAATACTGTTTGCTGAAGGTCTTGTGGTGAAGTTTACCTGTGTTGTAATGTGACGTAGCTACACCTCGTCCTGTTTTAATTGGCCAACTAATATCCAGTTTCTTATTCCCCATCAGATCCTTCATTCTAAGAGGAATATAAACATAGTGATTGTCTGTGTGTGTCTGTCCTTTCACCCATCTGTACACAATTGTTTCCCAGGGATGGCTTTAAGACTCTACAACATGTTTTGAGAATGATGCACATTTTTAGGAGATTTAAAATAAAAAATATCAAGATGTCTAAAAAGAAAAGACCTGTACTAATTGGACTGCTCTGTAGACTTATGTATTTGTTCTTTTCTTTATACTAAATATTTAAAACCCATTTAAGGAAGGTTGGTGTAAGTATTATGATGGAGTTGTAGCCAAAAGAGTCCAGTAGGCTCCCACTGTTATTGCTGAGGGAAGATATTGGATTATTATTGTGACACGCACTTGTAGGTGCTGTTTAGTGTGTTAGAATATCACAAAACCTTCCATTTTTATCTTATATTTTTACCTGTAGCTGTAAATTGGAATGCAGAAAATAATATTAAATTACAGAAAAAAATTATTAATGTTTTATATATATTTTTTCTGGTATTTTATGAGTTAGTAAATAATTATTCACGGTATTTGTTGATGACTGCTTTCACCAACAGCCAAGATCAGATCACTAATCCAAACTCTTCTGGGCATCATCTCCAGTGACTCCTCTCATCCATTCCCCATAAACTGTTTTGCCTTACATGTTATTTTGATTTATTTAGCCCCCCCCCTTCCCCCCACCCCCAGCGTAGATGCTAGAGTAAGCGAATAAAAACTATTAAATTCCCTCTGTTTCTGTGTGCAGCCAGTAACCCCGAGGATCATGCAAAGAAACGAGGTAAAAGAAACTTTGTGAATGCCTTCGTTGTGTCGCATCGTGCTGTAGTAGCCGAGTCTTGGTCTGTTGTCTCCGTAGGCATGAGCTCCTGTCTGTTGCTTCTTCCTCCAACCTTTAGACGTTATGCTGTAGGATATGAGCCAATTTTTACTATACTGTACTATTTTTGTCTTGCCTCCTGTTGCTGCCGCTTATATTGTACTTCATTGTATCTTGTCACCTTAATTATTCCCTGTTATCTGGTTATTGTATTTATTATTTTTTTATTAATCAATCATAAGATAAACCAAAATCTTTATAAAGTGTTTCTCTAATGTAGAATGTTGTTGTAGAGTACTAATGTTTTAAGTACTGTAACAGAAGGTATATATAGCTGAGGATATGTGTACAGTAATGTGTTTATAAGTGATGGGATGTTTGGCTGGCAGTAGAATGATTTGCACACAATATTTAACTCTTTTTCTTACTCTGTGACCTTCACTTATGACTCAATACTATTGTACCATAAGTTATAAGCAGATAAAATGGGAAAAATAATGTTGCTATTATAAATAATTTTCCTTGAACTTGACAGAAATTGAATATCTGGTTGTTTGTAATAAGATTGGGAATTGGTACTTACTGTATGATTGTATAGTATTACCCAAAGGTGATTTGTTAGGATAGGTTATCCATTAGTGTCCTTCAGAGTGAGTGAGTCTTCAATTTAATATCATGTAACACTATCTTGGCAGTATCAGACTAGACCAGATAAGTTTTTCTTCAGGTTAATATTTCTCACCCAGTTGATTCAGGTGGGGAAAAAATTAGACTCATTTTGAACCAGAGATTGACTTTGACTTGGATAGGGTTCGAGGTTGAGGACGTTGAATTAGTTGTTCTCGTTGTTTCTCACCTTCTCCAGTCTTAAGGGAGAGTTGACGCTACCATCCTCTTAGTTACCTGCTGTCCCTCCAATCAGTCACCTCGGCGGATTCAGGCCCCTTCTGATCCAGTGGTCGTACAGTCAAATTTCCTCTTAACTTGACAAATAGAGCGTCAGTCACAAAGGTTTTAGACACATAGTGCGTGACCAAATTACTGGAAATATGTTATCGTGTCATTCTCATATGTTATGTTCAGACACAGCATTTTGTAACCAGACTGGTGAGTGAGTCATGCAATATCCTGCTTGCAACACATAACACACAAAAACAAACAACCACATGTGACGAACACTTTGTCGTCACACCACAATTACTTCATAACTCTGATGTCTTTTCTCTCTCGGTACAGAATTGGTGATTTTGACAATATTACGTCACCTTTATTTTTTTGCTTCTATAGTTTTGCTTGTGGGTTGTTTAGGGTAGGGTATTAGTAGGTTAGGTTAGGTTAAGTTAGTTTTAGATTAAGTTAGGTTAGATTAGGTTAGGTGAAGTTAGTTTTAGATTAAGTTAGGTTAGATTAGGTTAGGTTAAGTTAGATTTAGATTAAATTAGGTTAGGTTCTCACTTGTTAAGAGGATAAAAGTCTTCAGCTCACCTCTAAATATACTCCAATGTACAAAATTTTACATCCATTGCTTAAAAGCATGTTCCTTTTTGACGCTTCTCTGTCACTACTTCTTCTGTACAGTTTATGGCACTGTTTCTCGCTGTTGCTTACTCTTGAGCAACACACACACACACACATCATTATAACTGCAAAGACCTCAAATACTCATCAGGTTTACCCACTTTGAGTACATTAGTTGTTTAATTAAAAGATGGTTGATGATAGCTGATGGAGGGAGGGTTGGGCTGTGAATATCACATTGATCCATATTTTCCTGTTATGTCAGTTTTCCGCATCAAGTTTTTTTGATAAATCTGAAGAGTCGTTATTAGTGTACGGTACTGGTAGCGTTATTGCTGCACTGTACGCTAAAATATTATATGAATAAGCTTTTGCATCCTTTTAAAGCATTCTTGTTTCCTGGTTCTTCATTCCTCTCTTAGCTTTTATTAAATGGGTATGATTCATAAAGTAACATTGACATTTAACACATTATTCACTCCTCATAATCTCTCCAGTCTTTTGTCAAATATTATACAGTACTTCTATTTGTTACTCTTACGATGCAGTGCCACCACAGTTAGCCCATTAAACATTACTTTGGTTAAATTTCCTCTTGTGATGCTTGATGATACTTTATTGTGTGTGATATTATATAGTATTTATTTAAACAGTTTTATTGGCTAGTAAACATTCTTGAAAGTTTTTATTTGGGATGTAAAAAAAAACTGGTTATATTTTATACAGTGAGTGTTGGTGCGGATTTCTAAGGTCATGCTAAAAGAACCTACTTGTCTGTTCTGGGCTGCAGGAGATGGGGATGGTAGTCGCAGGGAAGCCGTCAGAAGGAAGACCGCTCAGTACCTACAGCGGGCGGAGCAGCTGGTGGCCCGCCTCACCCGTAAGGATAAGAAGAAAGACCAAGTGAGTTTTAGAAAAAGAAAGAGTTTGTTGTCCTCGAGCGTAGTTAGTCGTCGAAGAAAACTCTTGCTGTAACTCCTGGCATAGATCTCACTGTAACTCTTGGTGTACCTCATGTAACTCTTGTTGTATCTCCTGACATAAATCTTACTGTAAATCTTGTAAATTCAGGTAAACAAAGCTTCCATGATCGTTTCTGATACATTTCATAGTACGTACAGTATGTTATAAATTATGAAGTGTTTCTCGTCTCGCTCAGCTTACAGACGGTCCCCCACCAGAGATCAACAGCAGTGGTGAAGGAGGACTCAAGTGCCGAGCGTCAGACCTCTCCAGGTACCGTGTGGCGGGCCTGGCAGGATCTGTCATCATCGCCACTGACACTACAAATGGTGACACGGTTGCCATCAAGGTACTACCTTGAGATTGTTGCCATCTGAGGTTTTCATATTTGTTTACGTCTGGTCGTATAAGGCACTCATAGGGGGGGGGGGGGTTTGATGGATGAGCCAAATGTGACTTTATTCATAGTTATACCCAGGCATTTCGAGATTTATTTATGTGCCCTTAAACTAGACTAAATTTCCTATTGACTGTATGGTGGGTAGTGGAGAAGTGGAAAATAAACCATGTCAACTTTAACTGCGATTATCTCCAAAAAATTATATTCCAGCGTCTTCTACGCTGTTCCCCTGAATGGCTTAATTGTATACTGTAGTCACTAAGATACAGGGAATAGGGTGATAAGAGTGCTTTGAAGTCACTTAGAATATTAGAGTGATGGCAACCAAACTATAGGAGAATTCAATGGGAGTGTAAAGGTATGATGAGGAGACAGAGATTATCTAGAGAAGAAGAATTGGTGCAAATCTGAAGAAAACTTTTAAAGGTCGTTCACTGTTTTTTTAAAGTTAATGTGGGTGACCCTCGATGCAGGTTGTGATCAAGAGCGGCAGTGGTAGTGGAGAGAAGACCGTTGTGCCCGAGAACATCCCCTTCATGGTGCCCATCATCAGGTATCATGAGACAGACAACGCCATCTACCTGGTCCTTAAGTTCATCAGGTACTGTACTGTACATCATCAATATCTCCTGCTGTTCCTTCCAGATTCTCTCAACTTGTACACAAGATCATTGGCAGAACTGTATGGTGTACAGATAATCCCTGAGCCATAAATTATTAAGTAATCATGCATATACACATATTTAATTACATATTTCACAACTGCATCTCATTATGTTTCACTTAAATAGAAATTTATTGTTATAAGAATGAGTTTGATGTATTAAATGAAACCTCTGACTCATCACCTTTGTTACAGCGGTGGTAAGTTATGGAGCCACATCAAGAAGTACGTTGTAGAGGAAAATACAAATCCAAACGAGATTTACAACACCTCCAGCAACACGTACGCTGGGCGCCGCCTGCTGCAGGAAACCACAGAATACGATGGTCTCGCCAGCGAAGCATTGTCGCTCTGTGAGACACCTTCCCTCGCCTCCCACTTATCATCACACCAGTCCTGTTCCCACACAACACCGTCCACCAACAACCTCCTCACCGTCCCAGGTTGTAGCTCATTGGGAGGGTGTTCTGGATGTTCCGAGGCTTCGTCGTCGTGTCTCCCCGATGGTTACCTCCAGATCTTCTCAGAGTACACTCACGGCCTGCCGTCCTCCTCCTCCATGCTCGTCATCCCTCCATTAGGACAGAGCACTAACGTGACCACGGACACTGTGCCTAAATCCATGAGTGCCGGGGCACTGGTCGTTGCGGCTGGGTGTTCGGACATATGTCAAGATGCTCAAAATGATGCCAAATTATCGGTTACAGAAGATAAACTTTTTCCTCAAGATGGTATTTTTCTTAACGGAAGTAATTTAATGAACGACGCTGATAAAGTAAGTATCGGAAGTGACACGCTGTCGGGTGTTAGTGAAGACTTCAGTTGTTCTATACCTGTCAGTGTCCCAAACCTTCTGCCAGATCCTTTACCTTTACCAGAGGTCAGAGTTACTGATGACCCACAACCTGAGAGTAATGTAGATTTGATGAACAATGAAGAAGAATCTCACTGTACAAAATGTAAGGATGATGCAGTTGATGGGGTCGTGCCTCCGGGTGGAGAGAGGGAGGCCGGTGCACACAAGCACTGTGAGCAAGATCATGAACTTGTGAAACCAACTTATAATGGGAAAGAAAATGAAATGAATTATAACAAACAGGACAACACTCTGCATGCCAGATATGGAGGAAGAGATCCTTTGTTTTTAAGAACAACAGACACACACCTGGGCCTGGAGGAAGATAGAGAAGACAACAGTGTAACTGACACATCTTTTGCCAGTGTGACTCTCCCTTCCTTCTCATGGACCAAACGGGAGGATTCTGAACTTGCATCTTTAGATATTGATGATCTTATAAGGAATTCCAAACAGTTATTGCAGAATGTTGACTACACACTACAGCAGAGTAAGAGCCAGGGTGTGACTGCATGTCATGACTCTGATGAGAGCACTTCCGTTGACCATTCTGAGCTCCCGTACGACAGTGACAGTATAGGCTTTGACCAGACCGACAAAGGTAAAAATAATACACCCAAGACCGAAAATGAAAAGAAAATTCACCAGAACAAACAGTCCTTCGCTGTATCCGCCATTGGGGAGGGTCAGCCGTCGGGCAGTCGATTGAGGGTCAGAAATAATAGCCAAAAGCCACGTGGAAGCACTTTAAAAGCTGTTAAAAGTGAGAGTAGTTTATTAGTACGACCAGACTCTGAGGCAGATCATGAAGAGAGAAGTATAGCCACTGAATGTGTCAGTTCTCAGAAAGTGAAATCACAAAGAGTCACCATTGGTCAAGGTGTTGAACCATCTCCTGCCAACCAGAATGTCAGAGTCCAGCCTGAGCAACCACAAAGTGTTAAGGCAAATAACTTAAATTCAAGAGAGAACTGCGACGTGCCGATAGAGAGTTCGTTAGCAGCCCTTCTGGAGAAATATTCTGCAAACAGAGGACACGACTCACGGCCGAGGTTACCAGAAGGCATCGTGAAGGTGTGGTCATCGCAAGTGATCTCGGCCATCACGGCGCTACACCAGCTTGGTATTGTGTGGGGGTGAGTTCACTTATATTCTTGTTTCACACTCAAGCTGTAGAGGCAGTGAGGTGTTGATGTTATTGAATTTTATTTGTTTTTATGAGGTCATAAATGCATAGAGCATAGGATGACTCTTATGAACTTTATTCCAGCCATTACACTCACTAGTATTACACATCTTGTCACCTTCAGTTGTAGCTACATTTGACAGTATTATTGAGTGAGAACTACCACACCTGTGCCACAATATGTTTTGATTACACTAACAGTGACTAACTGATAGCTGGTAAAGAAGTGTGCACATAAATATCAATGGTCTTATTGTTACTTCACAGAGACTTCAATTTTGACAACGTTCTCCTGGACGAAGGCGGCAGTATTCTGGTGACGTACAAGAGCCGCTGGTCTTCAGTGCAACGTAACGTGCGGAGCAGCACGAGTTGGAAGAATGTGAATGAGCTGCCCACAGAGGGTGAAGCTGGAGCCAAACAGAAGATGGGGTACCTGGCCCCAGAGCTTAAGTCACCCCTGGCATTTTCCACCACGGCCTCTGACTGGTGGTCCATCGGTGCTCTCATGTACCACATGCTTACTGGACAGGTTCATATACACTTAATGCTTTTGTTAAGACCTGCAACACTTGATTCGCTCCGCCACATCATTGTTGTTGTCTTTCACTTTGTACAGTTATTATTTTGCCTAAATAAACTGTTTCAAATTTAATTTTCACCATCTATATGAACTTTGTTAATATTTATGTAAAGAGTCACTGCGTAGGACTTGAACATGTACTGTACTATAGTTAGTGGATACAACAGAGCTGTATAAAACTACAAGTTTTGTAATTTACTGAGGATGGTATTGTACAATGGAATGGCAACAGACTCGGTGAATTTTACATTATAATTTATCTCATTGAAATTTACAAGTAGAAGAGAAATACTTTTGTAATAGCTTTAAAATGTTTGTTGAGTGGAATATTATACATGTTGAGCCAAACCTAACCTGACTTAATTTAATTGGCAGAGTGTGTGGGCCGCTCACCCTTCAGGCATCACCTCACACACAGAGCTGTTGATGCCATCACATCTCACTGCTGAGGCCGCCTCCCTCCTCTCGCAGGTAAGTGACATCGACAGGAAAATGACTGGGTAATGACATGGTGACAGGGAAGGACTGGACAGTGTAGCCTCATTATAACAGTAATCAGAGGAAAGGTCGGGTTGTTAGATCCCAAAGTTCGTTACGTTGTTTGTGTTGTCCGATCAACCAAAAGGTACATTAGAGACCAATATTTGTCTGGTTAAAGGCCATTAGTAAACCAATTTCTATGTGATGAAAGTGATTTAGAATGAATAACTGTGTACTGTATATGGTTATTAAAGACAGTTTTATACCTTGGTGACAGACACATTCACTCTACCTCTGTGTGTGAATATAACCTGTGATTTCTATAGCAAGTCGTTATGAGTATAAAGTACAATATGTTGGATTTTCAGCTTCTGTGTGCTCACCCAACGGAGCGTCTGGGAGGCGGAGTTGCCGGGGCGCAGGAGGTCAAGGACCACGCCTTCTTCACGGGTATACAGTGGACAGAGTAAGAAATCTGTGATAGCCAAGCTTTTATAGCCCTATACATTTACATTATAGGAAGTATGATGACAGCATTATAGGATGCTGGTGTCAGGTCCTACAGTACAGTATTGTAGGTTATGAGAATGATAAAACTTGTCAAAGTGGCCAAAAAGTTTTGTGTATTTACGTAAACACAAGTAACGTAGTCGGCTTGGTGTATGTGTATGCATGGTGATTTATGCTGCTTATCTCAATAACAAGAGACAATTTGTGAGACTAGAATAGGACCCAGGTGTTAGGAAACAATACATGCATTATGGTGAATAGAATTTGCTTCATTAAACCAAGAGAGCTCAGACAAGGTGCTTTATGGAGATACTGTACTGTACTCCAGGTATTTTATATATAAAAGAAACATTCACAGCAGTATACAATAAAGTGGGACACAAACTCCTGATATATCTCTTCATGGTAGACACAAACTATGCCATGAAGAACCATCGGTAATCCTCCTGAAGCTTGGGATTAAAACTACAAATAGAATTCACACAGAAATTTTGAAAGAAAAATTTTAAATACTTTTCGATCACATAGAATAAGCACACACATACCCTTTACCAATACAGTCTCATCAGCTGTATGAGATTTTCGAGTGTTTTTTTTTACCATTTTTTTAGTGTTTATAATACAGTACTTAATGTAACTAAATATTGCTGGAACTTCACAATGAGGTAAATAAATATATAATGCTTGCAGCTTTGCACAAAAAAATTTCCCAGATGATTAGAAGGTGGGATACTGTGACGCCATATTACCAGACACTGGAAGGTAGTGTTGGTGTTCCTTATAGTGGCATCATTTTATCAGACACTTTAGGGTGGTGGTGTTGCTTCACTCTGTCCCCACTTGTGTTTATCAGGAGTTTTTCAACCTCACAAATTCCACATAGGGCCCAAACTTTCTGTATTTGTCCAGTAGGTCATTGCTGCATTTATTATGAGTATTCTAGCTTGACATTCTGCACACCTCTGTTCTGATGTTTACATTTATAGTAGTGTGGTGTGGTAGAGTTATCAGTAGGTTCCCACTATCTGCCAGGGTGGTCCATACAGAACCTCCTCCATGTAAGTTGACAGCTGTAATGTGTGTGGAATTAACCCAATCAGCTGTTGATAAGTAGCCATACCGGGTATCTTTTCATCTCAGCAAGTTAACAATACTCCTGACCACTCCTGTGTGATCAGAGAACAGAAGTCTTTATAGTAATGATTGTCTGGCATTAACTAATATAAAAGATTTAAAGTGGCATCACTTAGTGAAGGGGTTAAAACATATATGTTAACCCTACAATAATATCAGAAGTGTAGGTTTTAAACGGTGTCTTAGTTATCTATGTCATCTTAACACACCAGAAAGATGTGCTTGTTAAGGTTGTAAGTGATGTGATAATTGGTAGTTGAGTCAAACAGTCTAAATGAGATTATTGTGATGCTGTGTTTACCAATTTGGTTCAAGATTGTTTTATAATAGTTCAAATCTAGAAGGACATTATCACAAAGATAAATTCTTTTTGGACGATTCTTTTTATGTTGTCATATTTTGAATGAAGAAAACAACATCGAGGGAAAAGTTATCAAAATCTTTTTTCTATTTTGTTTATTCTTCCTGCATTTATGAAGGGTGGACGAAGGGGCAGAGATAATTTAAAGAAAGATGGAAATAATACAAAGGTGTCCTAATCAATACACACACACACCACATATTCCTATCTTACACATGAAGTACAGAATCCTTAAACTCAATGTTGCTTCACCACAATTCATATCATCTTACTATGTACAGTTTAGTTATTGTGGTGAGGTGTTGCTGTGTCAGTTGCCGAGAGTCAGTGACAGGCAGAGTGACAGTACCCAGACGTGCCATAAAGGTACCCGATCATAGAGGTTGTGGCCACCTGTTGTATGTAACTGTTGTGTCGTCCATCCTTCACGTGGAGGTACAGGTTGTTCCATTGCTGGCAAAGGAAGCTGCATCTGTCTGACCTATAGTGAACCATTACTTTGTTGGTGCCTTTTATTATTAATATATCCTACTCTCACAGTCATTCCATATTTAGATATACAATACACAACTGGTAGGTTAAGGAAACTAATTTTTATTATCAAAATTAGCCTTGATGCAGTAACAACACAACTTATCCCTGATAGGTATCAGATTCTTGTCGTTGTGTTGTGGTTCATTTGTAACAAGATGATTCTCACTGTATTCACATAAAAGGAGACAGTGTGTAATGAAAACTTTAATTTCTAAGATACTGAAACTGGGTTATATAGTGTTTGGTGCTATAAGAAGTGATGAGATGTGCAGCAGAAAATGAGAGATGAATCAGTTCCACAAAAGCTAAACAAGTTTTATTTTCAACTTTTCTCACACATGAAAACTCCATAGTGAAACTTCCCTCAGTACAGTACAGGATATCAGTTACAGTATTATGATCCCAACAACACAAAGAACATTTACCAAAGTCTTACTGGTTTAATGGTGTGAAGTTTGAGGAGTTCATAGGAGTACGAGCTGGGGCTGTTGTGTGACACTGTCCAGACGACAGAATAAGTTGTCTGGAGGAAAAAAATATACTGCACCGATTTTTGGGGTCTGGGTGAAGGTTCTGTTACTCCTCCTTTGGGTAGTTCTTGCTGGGCTGCATCTCAACATTGGTGGTGTACGACACATTCTCACCTACACGCCATTTGTTACGGACTAATATAATCCATTGACCTTTCATTTATCATAGATTTGATTATCACCTTTTGCCTCTGAAGTTAACAAGCTGCCAACCTGACATCTTAACCTCAACACAGTACAGTACTTCCAACACCACCTCCTCCCATGATAGTTGTCAGTATTGTTGTCACTTTAAACATATTTTCTGAAGTTAACTCTTTACTGTCTGTTTTTAGAAGAGAACAAACCCTTATGCCTTCATACTGTCATTGTCATTATTGTTTGTTACTTTGTTATTAACTTTATTGTCCAGTGTTAGTACAGGAGGAAACTGAAGTGCCCAGAGAAAACCTTCAATTTTATTAGGGTCACACTGGATAACATCCTTCCCATGTGCATCTCGGACCAGGATTTGAACCTATGACGTAGTAGTGTGATGTGTGTGCGTTGTCTCTTTCCCACCAATGCCAACATCATTATCAGGACGAGTGTTCGGGTCTGTTCAAAATACAGTACTCTCGTTACATTGACCGTGGCATAATGACAAAGCTAATTTATGATAATATTGGAGAGGACTACTTACATGATATTTACCGGTATTGACTGTGATTATTAATAAGAATGACTTGTACAATATACCACCACTAATTTAGAATTAATTATATTGTGACATGAATGAATGAAAGGCAGAGAACTTCCTAAAATTAAGAATAAATACTAATACATTTGTGCCTATAAGGAAGAAGAATGATGAATTAATTATACTGTATACAATACTTTTATTTAATATCTTTAGTCTTTCTTTACTCTTGAAAACCAAAACCTCTCTTGCTGCTGATATAAGGAGGGGGGGGGGAGGGAGGTTGACTGGAGTAAAACAGAGCCACAGACTCTTACCCTCACTAACAGCCTTGGACTCTACTCCCCTACAACACTCCCCCTGTCATGACACATCCCCCAAGATTTCTTTCTTCTGGTATATTTATTAGTGATCTTAACAATAATCCATAATTTTTTGACATTTTGGGGGAGAATTTGATGATCCTTGAGAAATATCAGATTTGTTGAATACAGACATACTGTAAATTGTTTGTAGTTTATTTACTAGAATTAATGTATTAGAGAATGTGAGAAACTTCCCAATGGGTCGTCTTACACATTTTACTTGGCATGGTGATGGGGTATATCCTGGCCTCATGTATTTACTATTGGCCAAAAAAAATTTCAAGTAGGTGAAAAAAAATTTTTGGTGTATTTTTTGTGTGCCATTTTTGTCTGAAGTAGAGTCAGTTTTTGTGGATATGAATCCTACCAACACAGCATGTAAATGAATTAGTAAGGTGACTTTTTTTTTTGTATCTGTTGGCAATATACAGGTATTTAGATCTTATAGTGTGAGGTGTGTTTATGTAGCTCACATGCAAACTACAGTACTGTATTTTGTACCTCTGGTGTATATTGGTCAACTGTATTGAGTGGATGGTCAATGGTGATGACTAACAGTTAAGGGGGAAGTGAACTGATATTGAAGTACAGTACAGTAATTGCCATATGAACTATGATGCACAGAATTGTTTTACTATATATGTAGTTCATTAAAGTCAACACATGCACTGTTTAATCTGCATAATTTAGGTCATTCTTTCATCTCTGTTACTTGTCTGGAATTTAATATTTTGGCAGTCAAGCGCAACATCTTTGTCCTCGTAGATGGTCATAGATCTTCAGAGTTGACTTACAAGCACTTTTTATGTGACTCTCACCTGCAAGTATTGTTAATGTAAGTCTTCAGGGTATGTTTAAGTGGCATTTAATGTTTATTAAATGGCGAGTTCACTATAGATGTCCATTCATGATAATTAGATCTTTTGGCATGTTCTGAAGGTGTAATTACTTAGCACTTCTTAAACAACATTTCATTGTACTATAATGTTACACTTTTGATTGTTACAGTGGAGGTTAAGGCCTGTGTGTCTGCCTCACTGTACACCAGCATGTTACTGAAGATATTACTTATTTTTACTGGGATTGTTATTGTGGTGAAGGACAAGGAGGAGATGGCGGTACAGTACAGTATGATTACATTATGTTACTAATGATCAGTTGTAGTAAAGCCATCTTGGAGAACTTTCTGTATGTAGGTATTATTGATGATATTTTAAACATTTAAGTGTTATTACTGTTTTAGAGTTACTGTGTTAGTTTCAGAAATAATTAATTGTAAGTTTTAGACATTTTTTTTTTGTCTGTTGTCGAATGAGTGACCAAAAGAGGACACACAACATTATCTTTCTGTTGTCTCCTCTCATCTCCCATGGTTGTGTTTGATGGATCAAGGGCCACAGGCACAGGGAGAATAATGCAGGACAGGTGTAGAAAATGGTGGCAAAGAAGTTATTGTACTGGACTGGTAGTTCATTCGATGCTAGTTTGAATCACTATGAAGAAGGTAATTTGTGATGATTATCTCCTGTGAGACATTCCCATCCTAAGAAGCTATGTAATGCATAACCAGACCCGCATGATAACCTCTCTCTGATACGTGATGCAAGATCCACATAACAGGCACCGTGTTTTGAGGGTGTGAGCTTGTGTGGTGCTCTGGGCAAACCTACCTTTAGTGTCGGGGTATATCCTCCTGTGTGTCTCCCCCAGTCCATTACAAAGTATAAAA